TAATTATAAACCTTGAATTGTAAAAATTAAACAATTTTATCTATCGAAAAAAATTATAATAACTCCATATTATTTTAAGTATGAATAGTTTCTATGGTTGTAAAACTGTCAGATATTATATTATTAAAAGATTATCATTGCCCTAACCGTTGGTATTCCTAATCCATACCATTATTGCTCTACCCAGCTTCTGCCACTTCTCCTACCCAACATTCCTTTGTTCATATTGTCACAATCATGGGTGGATCTACGGGGGAGGAAGACCCCCAAAATGGTAAAATATCCAAAATCATTGTTCCTATAATTACATTCAATAGGACTTGAAGAATCACTCTAACATCATTTCGTGTAGGTAGTTAGTTTCTTTCTTTTTCTTCCAAAGTAATTATTGTTTTATTTAAAAAAATAAAAAAAAAGCTCTGAGGCTGAAGTGATCAGCTTGTCGGCTGTACAAACTTTGTCTTTCTTCCTTTCACACATACATGAAATCTGTAGTAAGAGGAAGTATTGCGATATTCAAACACGAGTTTTCAGCGGAAAAACATGTTTCAAGATTTCCGTAGTCGAAATAACCAAGAAAACGAGAAGTACAAAACTGGACTCACTTATTGCAGGTAGGTACACGTCTGTTATGTTACAGCAACATTTTTATCAAAATCGGCTGACCCGAAATAGTATTTTATTTTATTAGTATTTTAATTTTGTCCTTATTGAAGCAGCCTGACAGGTCTTTATTGCCGAAATTAAAGTTCATTCTTCCTAACTACGTTGATAAATAGCTTACCGTTATGTTGATATTGTTAATAAATAATCAGGATTTGCAGTTCTTATATGGTACATTAGGCTTGCCGACGTTTCGAACCAAGCATGTGGGTCATCGTCAGAGTTATTGTGAAGCCTAACAAGAACTGAAGTTGTGTTGCTATGTACAAGGAGGGGTCTTGTTGCTAGGCCAGTAACCATTGCTCTGACCATCACCGACATGTTTGGATAGGCCGAAACGCCGGCAATCTACAATCTAATAATGAATAGGATCGCGAATCCTCATTATTCGCCATTAATTATCGTGTTGATCTTTTATTTATAGATTTATTAATTTTAAAAAGTGAATTTCTTTTGAACGTGAGGTAATACTGGTACTATTAGGAAGGGGGATCTAGTCCAGAAAGTTGGGTAATAAATGACAGTTGTGTGATGCATCCTATATGTTTTTTTTTTAAACCATTACTCGTTAAATATGTTTTATTTTATATTTTAACGATTATTTTTATTGCGTTCGGTTGAATATAATAAATGTATGTGCATATTATTTAAAATAGAACATTAATTAATATAAGGTGAAATATCATAAAAGTTGTGATTAAGTTTGGGGAGGGGACTCTTAAGAGACCTTGACATCAGATGTCAGCTGTTGGAAAATCTAAGTTATATTTGTCCTTGCCTCTCTCATTTGCATAAATAGTTTGTCTTATGCACGCCAATGCTTATTAGTATCATAGCATAATGTTCCATCTACAAAAAAAAATAATAATAATTTAAAAAAAGTATTTGAAAAGGTATACATGAGAAGGATACACAAATATTATATCCTCGATCAACTTCAAAAATCTAGTGAGCAGTATCGGATCCAGAATTTAATTTTGGGATTGACATTTTTTAGTTTTAATATAAGTGCGACTTGAAGGCGTGTAAAAAAAAAAAAGACCTGTAATTTGAGATATAAAAAAGTAATAAGCTTTAAAGGATAATTTTTAAATATTGTTTACTTGAAACGTAAATGTAAGCACATTTAATAGCAGTTTATGCGATATAATTTTAAAAAAATGTGCCTGTATTAATTGGTTTAGTATTTTACTCTGATCTTTTTTTTTCCTCCTTCGCCTTTTAGGTTATTCGGGGATTTCCCGAGAGTTAAAAGCCCCCCTGCACGGACATGAACTCGTAATTATTTGATTTCTTGTTAACTTGGGTTTAGATTTGTGATGTGGTTGCCAAACACCTTTTTATGATTTCATCATTTATGGTACCAAAGACCAGATGTGGTTGCCGAGCAACGAGCTTTTATCCTGATTTATCTTCCTCCCCGGCGCTAGTACACTAGAACACCCTCCCCCCCCCCTTAGTGGCATGGGCATCTGCCATTCGGCATATGCATTATAATTTTAAAATAATACACTTATTTTAATTGTTTAAATACTTTTTTATAATCGTTCGCAGGAACAACTATAGACCTACCAAAAAAATTAATTTTCTATTTTTGGAGGGGAAGGGGGTTCAGCCCGAAAGCTTTCCTTCCCCCTCCCCCCCTAGATCCGCCATTAGTAACAAGTGTAAATTATATTGTTTGAAGTTTGAAGTATTAAACCAATATGTTAGCTACACCTTGGACAGGTAGAAGAGGAGGGGTCTTAGCACACTTAGTACACATTTATTAGCCTGTCTTTCTTGTAAACCTCTTTTATCTCTTCGCGTACTGTTAAAACAATAATTTGGAGTCCATGAATGTAATTAACTTACAAATTTATTTAGTTATATGTTTATAACTATTTTGTCTTCATCGGTAATTTATATTACCTGAAAATAATTGGTTTATTTTTAGGTAATAAAAAATAGAATATTTTTAAATTATATCTTTTTTTCACTTTACCAAATCATTTTCTGTTTTTCTATTAATGTTTTCCTCTTAATATTCACTAGTTGAATTAAAATAACAACACATGTAAATTGAATGGTTAATTTTATTAAAAGTGATTTGCAATAGTTCCTCTTTAAAGTGAATATGTACGGCTTCCCCGTAGTGATTTCTGTAACTATGGATGGTGGAAGGTGATTGTACTTTGAGATAATTATCGACTGTAAGTTGTGAAAGCACTTAGCTCCTAACCTTGTTTGAGTTGTAATTAAGTTGCTTTCAAACTCTAATAACGCCCTGCATCTCTTCCAAGTTGAGCTTACACCTGGCTAAGGATTTTAAAAAAGGTCTGCCTCCTCAGCTATATTTATCTCAACCAATTTCTTAAAATGGTCATTCATCAATGTACTTCATTAAAGGTGTTGAAGTACCATTCTAATGATTTAGCCTATAAATTGCTACTATTCTTTACCGAGTAATTTCAACTTTATTGGCCTTTATTAATTATTGGCTAGAGCTTCAATTTGGAGAAAAAGCCTTTATTCTCTGGATGTAGCGAACAATTTTTTTAAAGTCAAATGCTCTTCATGTTGATTTATGAGTTCTTAGGCCCAGCCAACTATAAATTCCTGTGATGACTTTATATATAAAAGAATGAGGCAATAAGAAGACATTCCAGAAATTTAAAATGATAAGAGGCCATATTGGAAACAGCAATTCGAGTCTTACATTTCTTAGAAATCATCTTTGTTACAAGATTCACTGAGGGCGTGCCTTTGCAACCCTTACTGAATCTTCTCTATATTTCAATAAATTGTCCAGTTTGACAAAAAACGGGACTCAGTTTTTGCTATGGTTGCGAAAGAAACACATCTTATTTTGTCCGATTTTCTTCGCAAGCTTATTTTTAAAATATTATTTAAACCTCTGCTCAGCCTCCATTAGTCCTTAAAATCAGTATTGCGGCTGAGTGAGAGGCGCTGGGATCTCCTTCTACCAGTTGGGGAAAGGCTTAGTTCGGAGTCTCCTGAGTAAATATTGAATAGAATTATGTTTATATTTAAGTTGTTATTTTGATTAGTTTAGTTTATTTTTGTTGTTATATATTTACTTTGAGTATTATCATTTTACTGTTTAATTTATTTTTATCTATTGTACATTGAGAGTGAATGGACCACTCTATCACTGTTACTAGTATCCTTAAGTGAGACGGAACGTAATATTATTCAATAATATTTATAACTGTTGTATATTAAAAAAAAATTAAAAACTTCTTTATATTTTTTATCACGTCCATTTTCTAATTTGTAGAGTTTATTTTTAAGAAGTAGAAGAACATAGCGTTGCATCCTATATATATGTTTTTATTATAACCAATTTAATGCTCATCGATTTAATTTGAGAAGGAGTTGGTCGGGGGTGCGTTCAGTATATAATACTATACTATAATAGTATTATATAAATAATAGTACTTGATTGGATTTGCCGACGTTTCGGACTACATTGTAGATCGATACGTCGGCAAATGTATACTAATAATATATTTACCCGACCAACTCCTCAAATTATACACACACAATTATCACAGTCAACCATCATCATACCTTATATAGAACATTTATTGAAGTTAGGAAAATCGATCTCTAGAGAATAGAGCTCCTCGCTCATTGGTGCGCTGTGGGCGGAGGGGAGATTTCGATGTTCAATAAAATCAGAGTGCCAGGAAGATAAGTCATTTAAGATAACTAAATGATTTGGTTTCGAAATACATGTGTTCAATTCCACAAAGTCCTGAGCACAGTTACTTTTTCAGACGATTTCTCGGCAGTGAACAAAGGATGCGTTGCTATCGTTATCTCTCTCTCCTTCGCCTCTGCGAACTGTTCACTTCTCTGAGGCCGGCGTTTGAAAGATGAACCCAACCCAGGGGTGGGCTAGTGCAACTGACCCTGAGGACTGAGTAACGTCTATTTTACTCAAATACTGATCTTTCCTGAGTAGCAAAGAATTTGAGTAGATGCCGAACGATTCAATTTGAGTAAAATAGTTGGTACTCGGTACTCAGAGCACCATTTGCCCATACCTGGATCGAGCTCGTATTATTAATTTTACTGGAAATAACATGGTTTAAGCTTAATTCTATTCAACAAACAGGTAATCATAAAATTTCTATTTGGTGATATCTTTATTTACGAAAAGTGAGTGACGAATGCACCAAATTAATTACTGCCACGATACAGAAGAGATCTGAGTTGGATTCTGATTGTTTGTTTTATTTGTTGTGCTCGATAAGGCTTCATTTCGAAGACTTTGTCGGGTGCCCGGCTCAGCACGAACCGATGTTGATGACGTGTTGCTCCCTGCCCAGGTCTACTCCGCGGTGTTCGAGCCGCTGCGGGTGTCGAGGACGCAGTTCAAGAAGGTGCTGTCCTGCATGAAGATGATCCGCCAGCTGCGCTACCAGGAGGTCTACGCCGAGGAGAAGGTCACCAAGGTCGACTCTCTCTCGCTCGTCCTCTCCGGAAAGTGAGTGGTCTTTCTTTATACAACTCTTTCAATGCAATGCTTTATGTTTCTATACATCGTCTACGACTTCTTTTGAAGCCGTCTCGCCAAATCATAAACCATTTTCCTTTTTAGATGTTTGTATAGATCGTCTAGGACTTCTTTTAAAGCCGTCTCGCCAAATCATAAGCCATTTTCCTTTTTAGATTTATGTATTTGTATCTCACAAGGAAACCCGAACTTTTTATCGCTGCTTACCACTTCTTTCAATATAGTTAGCCGTACTGCTACCTTATCTTATCATATTTTTATTAAATATTCATCTTCATAAAAAAAAAAAAGTGCAGACTTATTTGCGAACGTTTATAAGAAACAATACGATATATTTATAGATTTATTAGAAGTTTTTATAGATTTCTCAAACAAAAATGGGGGTTGTAGTGCAGAGGTGCCCATTCCCCAAGATCGATGAAACATGAACTCATCCCAAAGAAATTATATTGCTTCTTTTCTTTTCCAAAACAGTGCAAGTGAAATTAGAAAACTCTTAGATCATTAAAAATTACATTTTCTTCGCCATGTTTTTGGTTTAACTTCTGTCTCTTGGTTTAAAACTTCTCTTTCCGAAAAACTAAAACCCCGTCGAAATCTGCTCCCCTCAAAACTTTTGATAGAGCAACTTGCGCCATGAAATCCTCTCCTGGGCACCTCTGTTGTGGTGTGTGTATGTTTAAAACAAAAATATATATTTTTTATATTATTTTTATTAAAACAAAAAAATAATAGCAATTAAAAAAAAATAACGGAAATGAAAATATATGTTGAATCCTCGAAGCAACATAAGCGCTTTCGACAAGTCTGTTAGATTTGTCCCATCAACCCGAAACATAATCATCAGACGAACCATCAGTTCTTTGGACATGATTTTTTCGCTCAAGTATTCTTCTATATTATTTTCGATGATGGTCATACTAGGTATATGAATTCTGTCTCATTAAATTGGATGGTGGAGTACGCTTTGTGATAAGAATAACGCGGAAGACATTTTACTTTTTTTTTTTAAATCTTAAAATAATTTAAGTATAAAACAAAAAATAATGACTATAACTTTTTTTTAGCAATTCCAAAATCAAATGCTCCTAGCCAACACATCTTAAACTATTTTTAAATAAAAAATAACACCTTGTTACTATTTTTTTCAATCTTTTTCGCTCGCTTAGAGTACTCGGGATAGTTTGTTAAATGTCTCTAGTCGCTCGAAAGCCCCCACCGATCGAAGATGATATATCCAGGAGCATTTTAATAAACTAATACGGTCACGAGCGGCAACACTTGTGTCTTTGCCGATCGCCGCCGAAGGCCTCTAGAGGGCCCCTCCCTCTAGAAGTAGAGGAGATGGGTGGTATCCCTAGCCACTCGATGTTTACCTCCAATAACGTTTGTTTACCCTCGGCGCGGTGAAAACACAACAGGGCATAGAGGTCTGTTTTATCTCTGTGCGGTCCTTTCTTTATTGCTCTTTGTACTCCGAAATAGAGTTGGGGGGAGGGGGGAGGGAGCTGGGGTCTGATATTGAGCCTGACAGGAACCCCGGTAGTTCTTTTTTACAGAGACCAATTTGGCTATTCTTGTTTTGGGGTGTCTTAGAGTGTAGAAGAGGATTTGGTATTTTTAGTAATGTTTATTATATTTTGAAAATGAATATTATAAATGAAGGTTTTGTTTTGTTTTATTTACACTGAGTCGAGGTGCCGGTCATCTAGAAGGATAAAAGACAAAAATTTTGAAAGAGAAATTGATCCACCAATCGCCCTCGTGTCTTGAGCTGTCATTCGTAAATCTAATGATTAGCTGTCTCGATGCTGTGTATCTCTTTGGACGATCTCTGTCGATGCCTCTAAGATCTGTGCCCTTTACAGATGCGCTGTCCCTTGATCCATGTCATAAAAGATACATATTATAGTTATTAGATACGGTTAGAGGAAGATATTATCCAAGTTGTTGAACTTGGCCGGATCTGATTCACGGAGGATGTTGCTACTTGAGGTAATGACAACTAATGAGTGACCTCTGCTAGTCGTGGGATCTTACGCTCAGTTTGCTATCCTCGACGTCACCGGAACTAAAGGAAGGCTTGTCCGGATGTGGTACTTGTCTGAGTGGCGGAATTTAAAGGCGGTAAATTTCGAGCGAAAATTGAATTTCAGGTGAAGTAAAAAAAAAAAAAATTTTTTTTTTACTTTCATTCACACATGAAATAGCAAAACCTAATTATATTTATTTCGAAGTATATTGCCTAATAAAATACTGTTACTGTTGCAAAATAAATAACTTTCTTCTGCTGGTCTAACTTAGTTCAAGCCCTGACCGAGAGCAAGATGGCCGGTTGTGAAGGTAGACCACTCTACCCCAAGCACTTGGTCATTAATTAATGGCGGCGACGCTATCGCGGTTCTTACTGAAAATGGTTCTTCCTTAGAAATTATCTTGAAAATCATTTTTTGTTTTCTCAGGGTTGAGGATAGATCGTATCCATCTACTTTCGAAGCGATTTCAACTAGAATAAATCGCTAAAACTAAGATGACGGCTGATTTTAAGATCACATTGGGCACACTTTGGCATCGCCACACTGCCCGAAAATCGATGGAGATGGCTTTAGAAAGGAAATTGGTTCCCGCTACAGAAGGATCACATTAGGTCATGCCACCTCCTTCACTTGTGTAGAAATCACACCGTGAAAGAACACATCGAAATATCTGTCAGCTGATCGTAAAAACTTTCATATTTTTTTTTTCTAGAAAATAAATTAGCGTAAGAGTTAAACGCGAAAAAAGCTATTTTTTTATATATATATATAATTAAATTTAAGAGAATGGTTATTAACTGTGTCTCATATCATAATATGAATATCAGTACAAGTAGTCAACACTCAACTGTTTTCGAAAATGCTCATGTAGTATGTTCAATGTAATCTTGAAATCAGCCACGATCTTTGAGTGGCGATTGAGAACTGATTAGATAAAGGAGAGCAAAACAAAAAATAAATTACTTATTGAAGTAACCCCTACTATTTTTTAAATATTTTATTTATTTGTTATGCTCCATCGTCGATGTTTCTTGTTCTTAAAATAACCAAATATGAGGCGAAAATACCTCTTAAGGTAATATTTTAATGTCTTCAGGTGTGGCATATTCTGAAATTGTCTTTAATGGGGAGAAAAAAATTTGTTTATAAGGTTCTGTATTTGATTTACGTTTTATTCTCGGCCTCCCCTCTCCATCTGAGCTTGTTCAACTAAAGTGAGAATACTTTCGGAATGCATGGTCAAAAACTTTCTTCAAATCAGACCACCTTATCGGCCTCAGCTCCCGGACTATCTTGTCCCTTAGTAAGAAACTTTTTATTTCATTTCGTGCTCCCTCAAGAATTCAAACCCCATCAAAAAAATTGATGGCGCAACTAGCTCTGAACACCTCTGGTCGTTTAAAAAGACTAATGGAGTTATAAGGTTTCCATTGCCTACCGTCGATATGAGATCATACATTTATTATAACCTGAATCTTAGTGGAGTGACAGCGAGTTTTTACGTGATTATGTCTGATAATAATAACAGCAAAATTCGTACAATCTTGAATGAAAAACAACTTATGGCGTTCGTTTCTTTCAAAGAAATATTTTAACCAATTTCACGAACGAAAATCATTAAATAACAACGGCTAGTTTCTCTGGGACTAATGTCTGATAATATTGCCTTTGATCTATGACTCGATTAAATGTTCGCTATCTTTGATCTACCTTGATCGATTTGACGAAGAAGATGGGAATCCTCCCCTTCCCCACCTCATATTTAACCGGTTAGGATATCTACATTCAGGATTAGTGCAAACATTGAAATAGGTTTTCATTTTTATTTCATTACTTTGTGACATTAATTAACAGTATTTGGTACCTGTTTACTGTCTTTGAATGCGACAGTGCAATCCAAACATGGATATAAAGTCGATACATCGACATTATTGCTCAATATAAAATGCTTCTCTATAAAGAGCGTTAGAAAATATCTCACAAATTTTAGATGTCACATCGTTATGCTCTACAAACTCGATCTATATTTTGAATTTATGAGATCAAAGAAAATTTGAATCCAGAGTGCAGCTATAGATGGCTAATGTACTTCCTACTTCAAATTGATCATATTGCAGTTTTGTATGATCTGTGTTGGTGGGCACTGATTATATTATTTTTTGTTTAATCGTCGTTGGAAATGACCAAAAGTTGTAAATTTTCACAGGGTCGTCCAAGCAGTTGCTCTTTATTTTATTTTTTCAAAAGGTCGATGTAGATGTGGAAAAATGGATAATTAATGATTGAGGCACAAATTTGTTTGAATAGCAAACCTTTTGCCTTAAGAAAGTTAATTACAGTTGGGACTTGCTGAGAACTCTTCTGGCAGATCCTTTTTAAAATTAATTTAAGCTGATTTCTAGCATGGTAATTCCATTTATCATCATTTCGAACGGAACAAAACATAAATGAAAGGAGTCGCTTATAATAGGAATAAGGAGCTGATAGTATTATCGATGTATCGATTGTTGTTAGTCATTGATAGTGCTATCGAAAGTTAACCAAACGCTTATCCTAACTCTTTTCATCTCAGTCCTTCAAAACGGATGAACAGAATATTGGTAAATTCGTATTGAGTAACAGGTTCTGATTGATGGAACATGCAGGACCACTTCTTTATTCGAAACTTAAATATAATGTGCCTTGGATTGGGGTTATTCTGCTCAAGATAGGTGGGGGAGGGGGAGAGTTCGAAATTTGATTTATTTCATTTTTTTTTTTCATAATATATGAGGAAGAGTTATAACTGATCTTGGGTTTTTAATAATAAATTTTAAAATTAATAAATTGAAATATCACTATCCTCATATTATCCATAATTAAAAGAAATATATCAAAACAGACTAACATAAATTGACACATTTATATAAAAACAATGGCCCGAATCGAGAATAATCGAGAACAAATAACTATATATGAGGGTGAGAGAAGGGAGGTGAAATAGCTAAATAAGATTCGTACAAACTTCGAACTCAGATATTCAGAGGCAATGTGGCCAGTATGCATCACATTAAAAAAAAAAAATAAACATATTTTTGATGTTAGGACAAAATGGACAAAACGCGGATAAAACAAAATATATGGTTAGCTGCAAAAATGGCGATACTACTGGTGATATCGATATAGATGGTAATATGGTTGAATAGATAGGGAAGTTTAGGTATCTAGGTTCTGCGATAACTAGAAAAAACGGAATTGAAGAAGAGATTAAGGTCAGACTGAAGGCGGGAAATGCTTGTTATTTTTCTGTGACAAAACTACTTAGCTCGCGCCTCTTGTCCGGGACTTAAAAATTAGAATCTATAAAACCATTATCTTACCTACAGTTCTATATGGATTCGAAACTTGGCCGCTTACATTAAGGGATGAGCAACTTCTTAAGGTATTTGAAAATAAAGTATTGCGTAGAATATTCGGACCGAAGAAAGATGAGTTAACCAGAGAGTTCAGACGGTTATACAACGTCGAATTGCGTGAACTCTATTCGGGTAATATAATTGAGATAATTTCATCGCGGCGAATCAAATGAGCTTGTAAAATTGTTGGGCTCAGTAACGAGAGAATTCCTAAAAGGTTAATATTTGCTGTACCGAAAGGTAAACGTCCGAGGTGTAGACCGAAGCGAAGGTGGGAACATTGCATTAAAGCCGATCTGAAGTGACTGGATTTGAAAGGCGAACGATGGAAGGAGGTGTGTAATAAGCGATTGGTGGTGTCAACATCGAACCTTCGGGTTCACTAAGCCTTTTATTATTATTATTATTATTATTATTATTATATATATATCAAACTTGGTTAGACTAAGAAGAGAGGTATTTAATTTTTGGATCGTTAGGTTTCCTATTAACATCTGAAAATGGCAATGTTTATTAAGAGATGTAAAATATTTTTAAATTTGGTACTGGAATACACAGGCGGATCTACGGGGGGGGGGGGCTTTCGGGCTGAAGCCTCCCCCAAAATGGTAAAATATAACCATGTTTTACAGAAAAAAATATTAAAAACTATCTCTTAAAGTATCCTTGTTCGTGTAATTATATTTAATTGGACTTCAAGAACCACTTAAACACTATTTCATATAGGTAGTTAATTTCTTTACTTTTTTTCTTCAAATTAATTATCGTTAAATGTATATGAAAAAAAAAAATCTTTCGGGCTCAAGCCTCCCCCAAAATTAAATCCTGGATCCGCTAGTGCTGGAATATATATATATATATATATATATACACAGAAACCCGAAACGTCAACTAGGAAACAATAAATAAAATAATTATTAATGGAAGAAATATTTCCTATTATAAAAAAAACAAACTATTTCATGTTGTTTTTATTCTTCTTTCTTCCTAAATGCTACGAATCAATGTTTAAGAAATTTGTTGTATATTTTTCTTGCTAATTTATTTAAAATTTTAAAACTATCTCCACCTTAGCCTCCTGGTTACACACACAGCCAATTAGTAAATTATGTTATATCTTCTTCCTGGACACTATCCAAAATTTCAAATAAAAAATATTTACAAAATGTAAATTTCATAGGTTTAAACTCTGCACTGTTGTTGATGTCAAAATAAACTCTTACTATTGTAAGGTTTTTGATTTTGATTAATCTAGTCACCATTTCTTCTTAAATAGTACACTACACTTCTCTTCATTCAAATCTTAATGAACCAATGTCTTTTACTATTTTTAACTGTTTATTGTGTAGAATATTGCACGTAATAATGTAATTACTTAAAGTAATATAACTTCCATCATGTTTCTTGTGAATTTCGACTTGAAGATGGTTAAATGTAATATGAACAAAATCTATGACTTAGATTGCTTGAAAAGTGGTGATAGTTTTTAAGTAATTAGGCTCAAAGATTATTGAATTTTTAACTAATTAGGTTAGGTACATAGATTTTTGAAATTTTTAAGTAATTAGATTAGATAGATAGATAGATTATTGAAGTGGCAAGCCATGTTCCTACTAGCCCTGCCTGCTGTTTTTCTATCTAGTAAATATCTAATAGATTTTTTATTGAAAAATAAACTAGTTTGGTTGTTCAGCTACAACAGCACAAGGTAAAAGATAAGAGGAAAAATAAACGGAGATAGGAAGATCTGCAGCTGGTGCCGAGGAACTTAAAAAAATGTTTAAAATTCAAAATTATTTTTTGCTCTATTGGAATATTTAATCAACATTGACCCTATCTTGTGGCTCCATTCTTACAAAGTAAACAATTCCGGAATTTTATTTCTAATCGTATACACTTATGTGAGTTGGAAAATATGCTTTCAAGTATCCTTAGTCAAAATATTGGTGTTTAACAAATAATTCGCAGTAATGATTGTATATTATTTTTTAGGTTGGTAGTGTCACAGAATGGACGAGCCCTTCATATAGTTTTCCCACACCAGTTTCTCGATTCACCGGAGTGGTTTGGAGTCTCTACCGATGAATATTTTCAGGTTAAAGCTCATTTATCTATTCTCAATAATAATATATTCTCAATAAATTTCATAAAAAATAGATTGATTATGGGATCAGAATTTCATAATATTTACATCAGAAATGTGTTTATTTTCATGATAGTTTTTTTTTAATTGCATATTTTTAATTGATTGTTTTTTTAACCTTGAAATTGCAAGTTAGTGAACAAGATATTAAGATATGATCATTGAGAGGTAAACATAAACAGAATTATTAAAAGTGTTATTGTCAGGGAGCAGAATGGTCTTTTTGGGATAATTTTGTAAGAAATACTATTTTTCCTTTATACAGTACCGGGCTGACTCGCAGAGAGGCACATCAACCCATTCGCTGGCTTTGGCTTATTGCTCCAGCGTCAGCCGTCCACCTTGATGTTATCATTATTACTGATTAGAATAGAAATTCCAACATTGAAACCCTCAGATCCCCACAAAATAAATATAAACTCACCTGAATGAAACTCATTTCATGTTCAACGAGCACACTTGTCACACATTATGATAAGTTTCTTATTTTATCAAAAAGGTATGAAAAATTACTTTGTTGAATAATTACAAAAATGATTGTTTTGTATCGTTTTGAGAAGGTTCACGTGCATTTTATTGATGCATATTTTTTTTTAAAATATAAATGTACATATTTGATTTCTAAAAATATTAAATTTTACACATATTTTGTTAAATCAAAGGAACATGGCATTGGTTGCTTAATTTTTTTTCCTCAACGTAAATGTTTTAATTTGGAGTAGATTCATATTTATGTAATTGACAAAAAAATTTCAGTTTTTTCCTATTCATCAAAACTTCCCTATTACTTTTTCAAGCTGCCTTCAAGTTTAAAATAATGTTGGGATAATGTTGTATTATATCTTTTATTATTATTTTATTTTTATTTTTAATTTGGTGATGATGATGATGATGATGCCTATTAGGTATCGGTGACTGCCATGGAGGAGTCGAGGGTCCTTCTTTGGCATCGAGACAAATTAAAGTTATCAATAATAACAGACCAGTTCCTTCAAGCTGTCTTCGATCACGTTCTTGGTAGAGATGTTGTTAAGAAACTTTTACAGGTATTGATTGTATTACTGTCAGTGTTAATTATAAATCTTATGGAAAGATAAAAATGATAATGATTAAATCATTACTATTTAATTTGGACAATTATATATTAAAATATTTTAAATTTATCTTATTTGAGAAAGATAAAATTCTTTGATTATTTGAAACCGTACCTCACTATTAAAATGAGAGTTGTATCCTATTGCCTCATCAATTTATACATCATTAAAGTAGAGCTATCCTTTAAAGAGTAAATTAAGCCATTTGATGATTCCAATTAAAAACTGAAAACCTAATTCCAATTCCAAAATTGAATTTAACTTCTATTTTTGTCTACATTAGAAGTTTGTGTTAACAAATCCTAATTGTCATACTTATTCATGTGTAACTTATATTACTTTTCTTTAGGTCAGTGAAACGATGTCCGCTACTAAGGAATTGAACGGTCACCTCGGAGGAGGTTTTGAAGAAGCTGCTCCTGAAGAGAAACCGATGCTGATCGTCAAGAAGTCAGGAGATGGGCCCGGTATTACGGCCCTAATTAACAGGCAACTTCAAGGTATATTTGGAAATTTATCACAACATATTTAGGCATTATTTATTCGGTTCAAATCTATTATTACCAGCTTTAGGTATAATTTATAATAAACTGCTGCCTGCTTGTTAAATGCTGAGGTGGATTACTATGAACAATTTCTTAGCTTTATTGTTTAATAATAATTAATTAATTTGATTATAAGTACTTTAAAAGAAAGGTTATGTTAAATGACATCAATAGTAGTTGGATTAATGATAAACAATGAGATGAGTTGGTGAATTCGTGCCCATATGTAAATATATTTGATTTTCTTACCTTTACAACTCTCCTTAAAAATTTGCACATTCCTTTTGTTGCCCCGTTGTATCATGTCAATTAGAATTTGCTGAAAGCTTCACCCGATCAGCTGTAGTTTATTTATTTTCTTCGTATTTAATCATTGATAAAATAAGCCACCATTTTGTAATTTTTCCTTTTCTTTCATGTGAGTTGCTTCTAATTCCTGTTACTTGATTATTGTGTGACTAATACTTCCTGTAGTCACCGACTGTAGTTGTTATTTAAATCAATTTATTTATTTATTTATTTTTTTAAGTAAAAGCTTTTAAAAGTTTATTGTTGAAGCATGGATGATATCGTCAGTGTTCAAAGCATGCTTATATGTTAGACATTGTAAAATATTTTATGTGTAATAAAATTTAACTGTGTATTACAACTTTTGTAACTGTTTTATGTTACTTATTTCCTTTAAAAATCCTTAAAATTTATTATGTAAGCAGAATAATTTTTTTACAAGGTGCCTAGCAGTACTTTTATATTTTTATTTAAAGATATATATTTATTTCAGAATATTTTTAACTAAGTATATTGCACTGTAACTAAGTCGATTAAATAGCAATCGAATGTTGGTTGTACTAATTAGAATATGGTCTAATTAACTCTTCCTTTTTAACTTTCACTTTATACTATATATGAAATATATAGTAAGAGAAAGTATTGTGATCATGAAAATTTTCAAATCTGAGTTTTCGATGGAAATACATGTTTTGAAGTCTTCTGAGTCCAAATAACCAAGTCTCACAAAATGATCTGTGTGTACGTCAACATTCTAGCTAAAAAATGAAAATTTGTACAAAACTGAAATTGCGTATTAAAGCTTTTTATATGGCTGGGATGTCACAGCAACTTTTTTGTAAAAATCAGCTTACCATAAGCGCCACTTTATATCATCGATTTTACAATTTTACAACGGCTCTAATGGTTTTGATTAAATTCATTGCATCAGTGTAGAATTAAGCAGTTTTTAATTTTATGTCGGTCTTTTTCTCATTGATGTTTTCTAATTTTCAAAATTTCACCCTCTAAAGTACTTTTAATTTTTTTTCTTTGAAATAATTAACCATTTCACATTGCAACCTTATATAATAAATGGTTAAATATAAAATATGAAAGAATTTGATAATTAACTAAAGGAGAAATAAGGGATTGTAATAGACAATCGAAGAAACCAGAACTCGGCCGAAAGGTCAGGATTGCCTCCACATGTAACACATTCATAATAAATTATGGTCTCCGATAATATTATTATTACATCCACATGTATGGTTTTCATAAATGCTAGTGTTGGCATTATTTTATATTTAACTGTATAAAGTATAGCATTATAAAAATTAAAAAATTTTTATACACAAATAAATAAAAATGCCCACATTTAAATATAAATCAATATAGCAGCCTTCTTTATCAGTGGCACTCTTGTTGGACTAAAAATATTTTGTGCCACTTAATTATTTATTATAATAAAATAAATAATTAAAATGGAAACAGTTAGTGCCAAAAAAAGCATAAATATAATACATTAGACAGTTGTGAAAAATATATGGTAATTAACTGTTGCAAATAATATTTTGTACCGTCTGTAATTTTTACTTTCGCTTCCCTTTGCCTGAGAAAACCTATATTCGATTTTATTGCAATCGAAAAATGAATTTTTTTTATGTCAAAATTTTACTTTCTATTAATAGTTCTTTATACATCCATATGTGTTATTATCTTTGATTTGCATGTTTTCACAGCAAAATATTAAGAGAATTAAATTGATATTGAAAAACAAAAATATTTTGCTCAATATGTCCACTATCTTTAGCAGGTACAATATCTACTACAATGAAGCTATAAATAAACAGATGGATCTCATAAGAACTATTAACAAAAGGTGAAACATTGAGCAAAGAATTTTAATTTTAATTTGTAATGAAAATTCTTATTTAAGGGTTTTTCACATATTATCCTGTTTGTTTATTCTTAGAAAAATATTAAACAGGATCCGGATGTGTATATCATCTCATGTTCAGTACACACTTTACTTATATTTTCTGACTGAATCTGAGCAACATAGCATGCTTTGTGTACATAATCTAACTTTTGATTCACTTATAGTTTAGAAAAACAATACATCTACAGTATACAACTATAGCGTGAGTACAATATTGAAATATTTATACCGACTTAATGAACAAAATTGGTTCAAATATTGTGTCAAGGAGAAACAAATTTGTATTTCATACCTTGAATAACCCTTAAATATGAATTTTCATAGCAATCGAAAAATAAAAATTTATGCTTCTAATTTTCACCTATACCTTTGATTCTTTTTTAAAAAAAACACACAGATTTGGAAAATTTCAACATGATTTCCATAATTCAAATAGAAAATTTGCATGAATTAAGGGCCTTTTAAACTGCACAAACCAAACCTCAGTAAACAAATTAGAACTGGAGAGATAAAGCAATAAAAGTTTTAGGAGTTTTTCTTTGTTTATTTCTTAAAAATGCTTAAAATCTAAGTTATTGGTATTGTTAGGAAGAGCAATAATTTAGCTATCCAACTGTTGTAGGCACGTTGAATTAGGAGAAAATCCTGCGGATTTATTAATGCTTTACTAAACGGCTAGAAAAAAAATCTTCCCATAAAATTAAGGACAAAAATGTATATTTTTTAATTGAAAAACAAATTCTTATTTAAGAGTTTTATAGAATTCTGAAAATAAATCTGAAATTTGTTTTCACAAAAAAAACTTATTTGGCCTACTTTATTGGTATTTGTAATTTATTCTTCATTTGAATTCATTTAATGCAACCAACAATGTGTTTTTATTATTATAAGCAAAAAAAAAAATTCAGTTTGTTGTGTTCCAAATATTATTGGAACATCACTACATAGGGAAGGATCAGTAACGGCTCTTAGGGTCATTTTTCACACACAATGATCAGCCTTTTCCTTACTCAAGTTGAATGATACTAAAGCTTAAACATATTGAATAAAAAGAATTTGAAAATTCTTTATTCAATGATGACATTTCTATATTACAAAAAATATTTGTATGCACTCTGTGTTTTTTTTTTTTACTTTAAACTCTGTAATATCAACTTTTCTTTATTTGAGTACCTACAATGGAATATCATCATTTACCGAGGTTGCTCGCAATCATTAATTGTAAATAACAAACGATTGATAGTTTGTTTACTATGTCCTTAATATTAGGCCCACACAGAATTCTCCTTGCACAAAATCAACTGGTCTATCTATATATGCCTTGGTCAGACTTATCTTCCCAAAACAACAGTCAATCCTGAATTTTTCGAACCTAATGAATCAACGGCTACAACAGAGCACCGACCCGTTCACTAAGCTTATTCCTTCGCTGCTAGCCCCATGCGTGGCCACATCGGAGCACTCACTTCTCTCCAAACCTAATAAGAAAGGGTATCCTCTGACAAACGTATTACCTTAGATTCACTTTAATCTAATTATCATGATTATAAATTGATTCAATATTGTATTAAATGTAAATTATTCCTTTAAAATTTAAAACGACTATTTTTTATTTTATAGGATATTTTAAAGATTGGTATAAATCAGATATTAGTGTTTGAAATAATGAAGAATTAAATTAAGCCAACTAAAACTACATAGGAAAAAGAATCTGGATTCGAAACTATTGAAAAACTACACTCTCTTATTTCAATGAAAATGTATCATCTCTATGTAATGTATCATTCCCTTATTTAGGTACAATAGATTTCAATTCTCTAAATTGTTGTTGCTTTACTCTTGATGGTTGACCTTATGCTATCCTTATCAAGAAGGAGATGGTAATGTTATATATCAATATGTCAATCTACATGAGTGATGAAACCTGGAGACAAGAAGTTGGAAGAGCCTGAGGCTAATTTGAGTCTGCGCTCTCTTGTCAACGAGGTCTCACGGGTCAACTTGTTGCCTACTGATTTATGAAATTCATAATTTATTGCACCTACATAAGGATAGAAATGATGATTAACTTCTATCAATATATTTAGCCTGATGATAAAATCTCAAAGACCATTTTTTTCTTAATTTTATTCCATCGACTTAGACATAAAAGTTACAGTGCAATTAGTTAGGACTGGTTTTGTTGGCAGTAGTTGTACGCTTGTGTAATGTATATTGCATGCCAGAGCTGGAAGAGCGAGAGCCGCTGCTCGATAGCGGGCGCCTCGGTGCCTGCGTTGGTCTCGTCAACTCCGCCTTCAACAACAACAGGCACTCGTTCAACAACAACAGGTAACGCATTCATTTTACTAACCAGCTAAGCTCTATCTTTAGAAGTAATCAAATCGACTCTTTATTGTATCTTATCATTTTAACAACTGCATGAAAAATCTTAAACTTTTGGCTTATCCTTAAGTATTTGCTCCAAGATTTTTTTTTTAACCAATCAACATTTTACTATGGTGGAAAGCATTGCTTGAAAAACTCGAAGCCCTAACATTATTTAAATATCTGTTGAGCTCTAATTTGAATATAGCTTCTAATCTTTTTCCTCAATACAAAAATTCTAATTGAAAGCATTGACAACTTTGAGGCCAACCTACTTAAGATTACGAATTTAGATCTTTTTTTTATTTTAACACTCACAATAACTACACTACAGATATTTTCAAAATCTCTTTAGACATCTGTTCAATACTGATGGAATCCCGCCATAAAAACAAGTGAAAAATTCTTATAATGTAAATATGAAATTTTAAAAAAAATATAAAATTGTAATGTAAATGTATATATTTTAATATCCAAAGAACAATGATTTTTTTTTTTCATTGGATTGTTGTGTAAAGCCTTTTCTTCTTATCCTTTAAAGTTCCTTTGGAATTTTTTCATTACCGTTCTTCAACTTGTCACACTTTTGCTCTTAGATGTTGAAAAAATGTATTTCCATCTTACATGCTCAATTTTGAGCCTTCAACTTGTTTTAAAAGATTTTACTAAACAGGATCGAGTAAGTTCCCTAAATCGGTAGTTCATGGATGCTAAATATACTTAAACAAATGATGCACTCGTTACTCTTTCCTTCTTTTTTTTTTATTGGTTTTGTGAAGGAATAATAAGATTGTTGCTACCCTTTAAATTTAGATCTATGTTGTCATGGACTACTTTAATTGTTAAATTTTTCTTCCTGGGAATGAATATTTCTCAGCTGGAACATTAAACTCAACTGGGATAATATGTACTGATTTACATATTAATGTATAAAACTTACTAATAGCTAAATTTTGATAATTGTTTGCTTAGTAATATTGTCAGCACCATGTTAAAGTAACGAATGTGAGGCATTGGGCAGGTTCACATTCGTTCATTTAATATAGTGACTACGATATAAAGTATTTTCAGAGGTAGTACTTTTGTAAATCAAATTTTTGCATGTTAGAATATTTGTAATAATTCATAATTTGTCTGTTATTGATGTTAGAAATTGTAAAATATTTCAAAGACGATATAATGAATTTTTAAAAATTGTAAAAAAAAAATCCTGCTATATTTCATAACTTTTTTTCTGTAAGTTATTAGAATTATTCACTTTTAAACTATTGTCTCTGAATAAATTGTCCATATATATTTAATTCTTATGTCAATATTTTCAAGGAAATAGGTTAATTATTAACTTATAAAAGCAATATACAAGATATTATATTTTAGCTATCATTGCATTCTGTTGGTTGTTTGCTTTCAAGTTGGACCACCTGTTTAACAGGTAACTATCCAATATGTTTAAGAGGTTCCCATCCTACTTGTTTAACAGGTAGCCATCCAAACTGTTTAACTGGTAACCACAGGCGGATCTATGGGGGAGGAGAGAAGGAGGGCTTTCGGGCTGAAGCCCCCCTCCCTTCCCAAAATGGTAAAGTGTAACCATGTTTTACAGAAAAAAATATTAAAAACTATCTCTTAAAGTATTCTTGCTCGTGTAATTATATTTAATAGGAATTCAAGAACCACTTAAGCACCATTTCATATAGGTAATTAATTTCTTTATTTTTTTTCAAATTAATTATCGTTATATGTTTATGAAAAAAAAAATCTTTCGGGCTGAAGCTGCCCCCCCCCAAAATTAAATCTTGGATCCGCTAGTGCTGATAACCATCCAACTTGTGTAACAGGTAACCATCAAATCAGTTAAACAGGCAACCAACCAATCTATTTAATACTTAACCATCCAACCTGTTTAACAGGTAAAACTATCCAATCTGGTTTACAGGTAACCAGTCACTCTGGTTTACTGGTAACCATCAAATCAGTTAAACAGGTAACCAACCAGTCTATTTCTTAAGCTGTTTCCAACCTGTTTAACCAACTACTTCTTTAATGTATATTAGTAGCTGTTACTGTTTATTTTTTCGATTGCATTATATTTTTTTAGTGTTTATATATGTTAGCTAATGTTATCGAAAATAGTATATATAGTTGTGCATTTTTAGATTTTCCTAATTTTGGGTTTATAGTTTTCTTTACGGTTGATGAGATTTATTTATTTTTTATTATAATGCCTCTGAATGGATAAAATATATAAATTTATGAGAAAGGCCTAAGAGAGATGATTGGATATTACATTGAAACTTTAAATTTTATTTTATTGCATTGTTATTTTTATAACTGCATGTTGCTTCTAAAACATATTCTAGCCAATAAGCATTATTAATATAATTATAAATTAGCATTATTAAGCATGATTGATTTATTGATACTTGCATGACAACCATCCTAAAAGGAAGATACCATAAATGTTACCACTATCTAATTTTTTTTTCATACATGTAAATTATACACTTTTTCATTTGAATGTTGCTATCTCAGTGTGTTCTTGATTACAAAACGGTTGGCTTTATTTTGTCTTCAATGGTTCAAAGAATCAGATTGGTTCATTGCTACATTATACACCTTTTTGTTACACTTGTTTCCTATAGAAATATAATAGCAATATAAATTTTCCATTAGATAAATAATGATGGAAATAATTTATTAAAATTAAATAAAAATATCTATTTTTAATAAATTTGTTTCTGAAGTGTATCAGATTAATGGCCCGATGAAGACTTATCAGAAACAACTTCAATATTATTTTCTTCGCTGTTCAAATTGGCAGCATGAATACTATGTTGAAAAATTGTTTTTCTAGAAGGTTTGAATACTGCAAGCTTGAAAAATGAAGAAAACGGAAACAACAAAATGCTGCTGTCTCCAAATTTTTATTATTTTGGTTACACTTATGTGATGGTTATCTTATTCTCTCTTAATTCCGGTATACAATTTTAGTTTTAAGGCAATAATATAATAATTGCCTTATATATAGTTTATATAGTTTTGTTGTTCAACATTCTAAGATGTTAAAACACTCCCTGTGATAAAGGATGGACCAGTGGAGTTCAATAATTACATTAGAAAGTATTAAGTTCCTTCAGTAATGACTACTTCATCTTTGTCATTTTTTCAATTTATTCATTTCAATAAATAATTGTTTGAATAACTTTTCAAAAAACCTTGTAGTCTGAAGGAGATGGAGTCCTGAAAAATATTTGGTATTTTTATTTTAGTTTTAAACATCTTGTTATTTAGGAAGTGGTTGAAGGTCTTTATAGAGGAAATTCATCACTAATTAGCTGGTGGGAATTGAAGAATTTTGTTTTTAAATGGTCAGTCCCTTGGCACTTCAAATTGAAAGATCTCGTCCAAATATTAATTATCATTTATGAACAATTAACCATTCCATAAATTTGTATTTTATTCTCTGATTTGATTTTAGGTTTAAAATGTTAAGGGGAGGTTGAGGTAGTTCAATGAATAAGGCTCTGTTCTCATTGTCCTGGGTTCGAGTTCTGATGTGGCATGTAATTATATATTCTGATAAATCAGCCCTAGGATTAGAAGGCTCACCTGGGGCAGATCCAGGCTCTATAAAATGGTTACTATTAAATATTTGATTAATTAATTAAGTGGGGAAACCTGGCTGTTAGGCGTGTTCTTGGTCCAATCACCCCTTTGCATGACTGCTGAATCAGATAAAGTACTTGCTTGCATCGTACTCAACCCAAGATCCTTCATTGGTTGGAGCAGTAAAGGTTAGGTTCAAAACTGGCATTTCATGTGATATATCATCTCATAATCTATTTCCTATTTGACTGCTCAAGTAGTGTGAGGTCATCATGTGATATAACTAGATATTTTAATTCGTTATGACCATGACAACCAAAAATTGCCGTTTTGGTTATATTTTGAGTAATCAATAAACTTGGAAGAAAGCTATACAGCAGTTAAGTAGAAATTGAACTAAATCATACTCACACACATATATATATATACTCCACATATACATTCGCAATAAATAAATAGATTATTAATAGTACTATTTACTAATAGTAAATTAAGTACTATAAGTGTGTACAAACAGGTAACTTTGTGATGTAGTTATATATTACCTCACCACATTTATTTAACAAGATAACATGTTCTATCTTTTGTTTATATTAGTATTAAGTTAATAATAAGAGAGTGTTTGGTCCTGGGTTCTGTTCCCAATGTCCTGCATGGACAGCATATTGTTTTTTATAATACTTCTAGGACCTATCAGTTCTAATAATATGGCTGCTTTTCAATTATCATTATTAGTCAACAAATAATGAAAAAAATTAAGCAAATTTTTAAAGTCTGCTTACTCTCAAAATATTTTTTTAAAATACTCATCTTATAATGAAGGGCAGAAAAAATTCATTAATATGAACTTCAAAGTATATTAATTAATATTATAAATCAGCTTTATTTCAAATCATATAGTTTGTTTTTTCTTCTACTTATTTAATTATTTGTAATAGTTCTATTTTTCAGGTTGAAAACTACTGAAGCAGGGCATATATGGCTCTTATTTTATGAGGTACCCTGAACTATCAGGATAATGATTTTGTAATTCTACTTTTCTTTGGTAATAATTAGGGCATAAACTAATTGTCACCTTTACGCCGTGGGCTATAATTTCCCTCCCCGCCATCCATCTGACAGGGTCCCCTGGACTACTGTGATTGATACAGTTATCAGTAGAATGAACAATGTCTTATTAGCAATTATTCAATCAAAAAACATTCTATAAATTCGTTTTATTGTTATTGTTACTCAGTGTTAATTGTTAGATTACCAGCCATAATAGCAACATCACTAGCTTGCTTACAGCTGTTAGATTTTTAAATTAATCATTACATCCATTACAATGTAATGTCTATGTTTACGTGATTATTTGAAAGCTGTCCAGAATGATGTTAGTGAAGAAAATGTATTTAAACTTATAACAGCAGACAAAATCATAGGCATTTTTCTAAATATAGAAATTGGTATGAGAATATTTGTGTGCATGATGGTAGGTCAGTTGCAGTAGAAAAACTCTTCTCAAAATTTAAACGAATAAGAATTGATAAGTTTTTTCAAAAGAAAAAAATAAACTTTGAAGAAATAATTTATAATTTTAATATTTTATTAGTAGAAAGTTAATAGTTCATGCATTTTACTGTGAAAGAAAATCCGCTATTTTTTCAATCAATTGTCTTTTATCTTTTATGTATATCATTAATGTTTCCGTATATTATACATATGTATATTCATTTTTAGGTTGATTTTTTAAATTGATTACATATCTAAATCAACAAATAAATGTATATTAACAAAATTGTGTTATGAAAATGTAAAAGAAAAACCAAATTCATTTTTCATTAAAATGGAAGATTTATTTTTTCGCTAAAAATGTAATCAATGATTTTTTGTAAATATTTAAGATTTTTTTTTTTTAGTCTACTTTAAAATATTAAAGACCCTTTTTATTTGTATTAATGCAGTGTTTATTTTTCTTGATATATGGTTGCTAAAATAAATTCTCCAACGAGGGAGCCCACATGTATCTTGAAGTACCATGGTTCCTTTCCCAAGGTTGCCCTTTTTGTGTGAATACTTCACTTCTTAGTTAAAAAAACAAAAACAGAAAGAATATCTTTGTATTTTAGACTTAGTGGATATATTGCAAACAAAGTAAAGTTAAATTTATTCTTCAAAATTCAATCCAAACTATATTACGATAAAATGAGGATGACTTATTTTACTATTCTTGAATTTTGCCTTAGCAATCTGAATTTTTTTTTCAATATTATTAATCTTTACCATTTTTTATGAAAAAAAAATCACTATTAAAATGTTTGAAGCTGGAATCCATTTTTTAACTTTAGAAAATCAGGATTTCCAATTGATTAATCAGAGTTAAAACACAATTTCAAGCTAAAAGTTTTTTGGAAGGAGCCGTCACCAGACACTCTCTTATTATTGAAAGGTTGCTATAACCTGATGCTTGAGGTTATATGATACTGTTCTCTGCCCAGCCATGCCTAGGATTAGGTACTATTACGTCGGTGAGTACACATTCACACTTTAGCCCTCACATTTACTTCTAATTACCCAGCTTGCTGTCGGAACACAAGCAGCATGAGTCAATGTAATCGGTCACCTCATCATATCTTTATATTTCATCAAACCATCATCATTCATCATGTATATACGATCTGAATGTGCATGAGGAGTCCGTTCCGTTGTATCAGCCTTTCCCACTTTCTTATTTCATGATAATTTAAATTTTTGGTAATTTCGTGAAAAAGTAACTTACTTTGTGTTACTAAAGTATGTTTTGTGAAGCATTAATTGGGATTACTAGATGGGATAAGTGTGTTGAAGCCAAACACTCAACTATTATGAGCTGCCCTTTACAGAGCATGAACTCTAAACACCAATAAGCCGCAAGATGAAGGAATCATGAAATCAGTTCCTATCGGATGATTTAGTTTGATCTTCCAATTTTTACTGTACAGCTGTATCAGTGTTTTTTAAATTAAATTTTGCAGCACTTAGTTTCAGTTCAGAAGCTGTTCTTCAATTGTAAATGCATAGCATATTTTTAGAATAAATTAATGTGCTATGAACTTGGCTTCACTATCATATTTGATCAGGGCATATATATTGCAGACAAGCATATTGACATAAAGTTATTTTTTCAATTACGATTCACAATATCACAATGATTATAGCAGTAAAATAATCCTCTTGATCTTGCCCCACTACAGCTAACTACTGCTTCAATAATGAGTTTTCTGTACTTGTTTAATAGGGGGTAGCATCCGACTGCTATCTGCCAATCTTTATAACCTTAACACTGATAAGCAACTGATAATATCTTGGTATTCATATTTATTGTATTGTATTGATATTATAGAAATTGTTAACAAAAACAAATGTAATAATAAAAAAATACTTTTATTTTACAAGATATATACTAAATAGATCAAAATTATATACATATAATTAAAAAACATTATGAAAACATTGCAACATATATATAAAAATAAATGAAATAATAAACATAGGCAAATTGCAACCAGGACCTCCAATTTTTTTACTTGACCTGTATAACATGTTATGGGCACAAACCTCTCTTAAAAATTTGTTCCACGTTACAATAGTTGCCTGGGATAGTTTGAGCTGCTCTTTCCCCCACTGTATTGTTAAATTATGGGACCACCCATAAATGAATTTTAAAGCCGGTAAAAATTCATTTTTTTCCCATTTAAATTTAATTAATGAATTTTGAAGCCCTACAGATTCTGTAATTCGCTTTTGTCATGACTATATTCACTGTAGTGATGGATAGGAGGAAAATTAACTTAAGAGATAATAACTAATAAACTTGGTAAATTGTTGGTAAATCCTGTGTTCAGGTTATAGATTAACTTTGTGTGCAACTCTCAGATCACAAAGACGTATTTTTCAGCTCCTTTAAAAACTTAATTTAGATGCTACCATGTATGATTTATCTGCGATGTCTAAACAAAACCATTTATAATAAATTCCAATTAATGCTTCTTTTTTTAAATATATCAATTTAGAAGAAAATGCTAGTTTAATAAGGAGTAAGTAAATGTGCTGTGGTCTTTTGAAATCCTTAACTCCTCTGTCAATGAATTATCTATATTTCCTATCTATTTCCTCTCTTTCAAAAATACAAAATATCTCATCTTTCTCTAATTTTTCTGATCTATCGTTACTGTTATCTGTAATTATTTGTTACTGTTATCTGTAATCATCCGTTACTATTACCTCTTATTAATTGCTCTTTACTTTCAATTTGTGTCTTGCTTATTCTGTTGTAATTGTTTCATTTTTCAAAACTATATGCATAATTATTTCAACCTTCATCATGTTTGTTTGAATACCTTTTTAACATAAGTATATAATCGTAGAGTTAAGTAAACTATATTGTCTGTACTTAAGCAAAGTAGCTTATTTGTAATTTGTGTTTATGTACTTTATAATGTAAGAACATTTTGATTTGGTGTCTGTGATTATTACTTATGTTTGCTATGGGAAATTATTTGTAAAAAGTGTACTTAAAATAATTATTGTTTTAACATTTGCTCTTGAACTGTTGCAGCAAATGATCCCAATGCCTGGAGGTTGGGAAGGATCGAGGAGACAGAACAAGAAACTCCTGTCTGAGAGATATAGCATCAACAATAATTGTAACCTCATGGACCTGTTCTCCCAGCCACAGCTGTTATAGATAAGGATCAAGTGTCTATGTATCATATTTTAAAACATTTTTTCTTTCTTCTACATTTAGACATGTTTAAAAGAAAAACAATAAGTGTCTATATGAAAAAAGGGCAGTTATGAGCTAATCGGATAAACCTTATCGTTGATTAATAATGTGTATTATATAGTTTTAATATGATAATGTAACGATAACAATATTTAATACAATATTAAGGTTTTGGTGAGCATGCAGACAGTACACTGTTGATTCTGTTTGTACGTATTCAAAAAGAGAATATTTCCTTAATAATGGAGATAATATTCCAGATCGGCTGCCTGTATCAAGATCTAGAGGGCAGCTAGGTAGGGTTGTGCCTTTAACTTCCATTGTGGATCTGAATTTCAATAATTCTGATTATAAAATTGTTTTCAGTATTACCATGGTGTAACTAATACAGATTGTAGATTGTCTAAATAATAATAACTGTAAATATTAACATTAATAGAGAGTTTGCTGTGAGATAAGTGAGGTTAGGAATGAGAGGATGGCATAGTTGATTGTCGACTGAGCTTTGCGGTAGTAATTACTACCTTAATATTAAGCAAGTGTTTCATTTGGTACTGAGAACTCCACTCTGTCAAGCTGAAAGGTTTTTTTTATTAATTTGTGAATTATAATCAAGTGACTGTTTATTAATTTTGGTTAATTGATAGAAGAAAAAGAAATTGGTTGTCTAGGGGGACGTCTTAAGGCCATATTGAATTAATTTTTATTATTGGTAATAATTATTTTATTTTGAGTTTTTAAAAAAAATTAAAAATGTCTTATTATGAACTTTTGTTAATTTTTTGAGCAATCTTATTTTTATTTATTTATTTCAGATGCTGCCAACTAACAGCTATCTTTTTTCTTTTCTTTTTAACATTAGTTGAGCTTATATGCAGAAACCAGATTTTTAAGAAATGATAAATCCTTAAGTACTTAATGAAACAGCTCTAATTTAATTTTACAATTGATTTGCTTCAAGTTGAAAATTATTTTAATAAACCATGATCATTTTATTTTAAATAATAATGGGTTAATAAAGTAAGGAATAAAATTTAGTAAATGGTACCACAAACTTTTGTTGTATTTAGCACTAGTACAATTATTAATTCTCACTTGTTTTAAAGAATAAAATAAAATAAAGAAAGAAGACAATTTTTTTAATTTTGGTGTCTTTTGGTTTTCATTTTTCGTAATTTAAGGCCATATTACACCAATATTTTATTTATTTCATATTATTTTTGGTGTTTCGGACTAAACTAGGAGTAACTAAATACCAACTTAATTAAATTGTAAACTAACAATAAAAAAATTTCCAGACTTCAAAATGGATCTAGTTTAGGCCAAAATGTTGCTAAGAATGATAATGTTAAATAAATGAAATATTGGTGTATTATGGCCTTAAATTATGAAAACTTTTTATTTTTCTTCTTCAAAAATGTCTGCATTAAAACCTATTACCAAATATATTTCTGTATTTAATTTAGTTGTTTTACCATCAGTTATTATTTAAAACCCTTAGATCTTGTGGAAATAAATAAATTTATTTTTTCCTCTTAGTCTACTGAAAAGTCTTTTTAACATATTCATTTAAGTATAAGTTAAAATATTAATGAGTTTCACGGTGTCTGATATTTTGATAGGGTGGTAGAGGATTCAATGCCTGGTTAATAGATAGCAGTTAGTTGACACCTTATTAATTTCATTGTTTAAAAGATGTTTATCCAATCTAAAATGGCCTATTGACTCATTTAAGTTACTTGTATTTCTAATTATTCTCTCAAATTCTTTTTATTATAATAGTGAACTTTGTGTAACTAATAAAAACCAATCAGTTAATTAATGATTAAATCTAATCAGTGAATAGGTTATGCCCACCGTTACCAAGAGCCTGTATCAAAGCTGATTTGATGTTTCATTGTTATTTATTTACACTCGATTGTTTTGACCTTTCAGCAAAAGTTTATCAGCTACAGTCGGAATGATTTATTCTTGGTGCTGGATTATCATTTTGAAGTTGCCTTCCGTTGTATTAATATTAACAAATACAAGGGTACATTATATTTTCTAAGTACTTAAGTGTAAAGGTTAGTTGTTGCCAATAAAAGTCTATCTTCCACATTATGCATCCCTAGCATGTAGACTTCCTCTTAAGATAGATTATTTTATGTCAATGTTTTACGTGTTGAATATGTTAATAATATTATTATATGTACACAATACATTGTATGATTGTTGTTTTAATATTATTCTTGAATCTATGGGGATTGTTCCATCAATACTTATGTACTGTACCTATCCCAAAATTTAATATGGCTTTACATGTTGGACATATTACCATAACTTCTGAGGTTGGCTCTTCTTATAATGACAAAACAATAAATTTATCCAATTTTTAATTTTTTTTTTACTTTTATAAAAATAGAATTTGCCATAATGATATAAAAATAAAGATTAAAGAAATCTTTTGGTAAATTATTTAATTTTATAATTCTACAATGTTATCTATATGCGTTGTGTAGATTCAGTATGGAGATCACGTTGATCTGAATTAAGTTACCACTTCTCAAATAAAATTGACCAAAGTAAATTTACTTCTAGTTGAATACTTTCATCACAAAAATTTAAAAAAATATGCAGCATTAGTTTTGAGTTTTTTTAAATATTCCAAGTAAATAACGATCCTGTAGCCAAACACTGGCTTAATGAAATGCTATTTTTTGATACCAGTAAGTAGATGAATACTTTTTCTGTTGTTAAAATGTTAAGTTATACGATGGCTTCATTTTAATGTATTGCCGACATGTTGACAATCCTAACAATCAGTATGTTTGATAACAACCTGTTCCTAAATTACTGATTACATTAATCAGAAGTCGAGCCACTTCACAAAGTCACTATTGTTTCTTCTTATCTCTCATCTTATCCATCTTCTTTTGAGTGAAAAAATACATTGTTTGATGTTTTAAGCATTACAAAAATACATTATTTGATGTTATAAGCATTACAAAGTCTAAATACATTGATTGATCTTCTAAGCATTACAAAAAGTCTTGAACTAAAATTTAATATGAGGAGTTGATCGGTGGGAAGGGGGAGGAGGAGGAGGTGCGGTCAAATTAATTAATTTGACCGCACCCCCCGACCAACTCCTTCTCATATTATATCAACAGTCAACCATCTCTACATCATTAAAATGTAATATGTATTTTCTTCAATGATTATTTCTGTTGATTGGTGTGTGATAGAATAAAATTTGATGACTGATATCAGGTTGATTTTTTAGAAAAAGTAATATAAAATTGTATTGGAATAAAGAGGACTCTGTTGAAGTTTCTATTGTATTCAGAAAATTCAGCAAAAATGTTAGATATTTTTCTCTAATAATTGGTGTTTTGAAATTTTGTTGAATAAAGAAATCAAAATACATTGATGTTATATTGATGGATTTTTGTCACCATATTCTGTATTTACCAATAAACCTAACCAATATTTGTCAATATATTGATTATCATTACTTTACAGATATCTACACTTCTCGCAAATGCATTTCAGTTCAGGCATTTGGTTTTTTGTTTAATAAATTGTATAATTCAGGTTGAGTTAACTCAGCCGATGTCTTTAAAATAAAACAAAAGAGAATTTAAATTTTAACTGTCAAAATTTATTCATTTTATATTCCTAAACCTTCATTTCAATCGAATTGATATTCACTAAGGAAGTATATTTTTGATTTTCCAAACATTTTCACTCTGGATTATCGGTTTATAAACTAATTTTATTTTCTTGTAGTTGTGTGTAATATAAGTTTGACAAATGAAGTCAAAACAACAAATAGAATAATATGTTGCTAGAGTAATACTAATATTTCGATTGTCTGAAAATGGGATGTTATGGTAGATAAAATAGTATATTTAATAAAATTATTAATAATTAGAAGCAAATTAGGAAATAGTTAAGACTTTTTCATTAAAAATAAAATAAACCTGGATTCAATCAATGTTTTTATAAAAATACATAAATATGGTACATTTAAAATGTAAATCAAATACATTTAAGGTTATTTATACGTTAGCCACTTGGTGCTGAGGCGCTTGAGCTTTTATTATTCCATCTAAAGGAGAATAATTAAGAGGTGAAAAATCTTCCCAGAGAGAATTGAAAGCTTTCTGAAAGGAATTGACTAGTTCCGGTTGCGTTGTTATCATAACGTTTTCCCAATTACAAAACGCTCCGGTCATTGTGAAGTTCATACTCCCATTAATCAGTACCTCACTGTCGACAATCACAAACTTGTGGTGCATAATGAATGGAGACATTCTCTGCCTCGTTGGTATATCTGCAAATAGCACACAAAAAAAAGGAATTTTTGTAGAATAAGGTATTGGTTTGTTAAGAACAATGATTCATAGCCATCTGGTAAATCACATGTTACACTGAAAAATGAACTAGAGGAAAAGAGTAGTATTGACAGCAGAGGTAAGTCATACCGTCAACACTACATTATGTAACCAATATAAAAAATTGCATTTTTGGAATTAATTATATTCATCAATTTACCATATAATTCATTACAAACTAAAATTTAAAAACACTAACCTAGAGCACAGAGAAGTAAAAAGCTACAAATATATTTGAAATAAAGAAAATTAAAAGCAAAACATTAATGATCTTTTTTTTGTTTTCTGAAAAGTAGCTATTTTTACATTTGTTACTAAAACTTTGTGGTGATATTTATAAATTTTATAATATACACTACTGGCACAATACAACCATGTACATTCATCCAATCATGGAAATAGCAATATAGGTCAGGCCATTCATGAAGGCTATCTTCCATCCATTTGCTCAATGAAAAACATCAGAGTTTCAATTCTGAGGCAGGTGTTATTATGGTACCAAATACGAAAATGTATCAAGAAACAGATATGTATTACACAAACAAAAGTCAGTATCTGACAAACACAATAAAACAAAATATAATTAATATCCCTAAGATAAAAGTCATAATAATAATAAATGCCGAAGGCTTTGAGGCTGTATGACCCATCGATATAGACGTATGTGAACTCATCGTAGTTATTTATATGAGCTAAGAAGAGTTGTTTTAGTACTCCTGGTGGGTTAAATAATTTTGTTGCATTTTTTAAGGAGAAACCAAAAACTGCTTTACTGTTTGTCCAAGGAGAAGGGTTTGCGATCGATTTGAACAACTTTGGTAGTGTGTATGGTGGTGGGTAGTTGGCAAGTCGAGATGGTAATTTATACGTCGAGAAGCCAAAGAAGTCTATAGTTGTTTTTAAGTAGCCTAAAAACTTTAACAAAAGGAAGTGTCTGCGGAGTTCTAGCAGCCAGTCATCAGGCTCCCAAAGTAGACTGTTAATAGGGCTAGTCCTGAAGGCTCCGGTTGCTCGACGGATCATTGAATGGTGTACTGGGTCTAGCTTGTTTAATATTTTCTTTGAGGCATCTCTGTATACTTCACATCTGTAGTAATAATTGGCATTATTAGACATCTGTATAAACTCAGCAAGGCAGTTCTATCGCAGCCGTAAGTAAAACCAGAAAGTGATTTTATTAAATTGCACTTCTTTGACATTTTGGACAATAATATTTTGATTTGTAGTTTGCACGTTAGTCTTGAGTCCAACATTAGTTTTAGATGTCAAATTGAATCACATTTGTTCAAAGTTTGATTTCCAATATGTGCTGTAAATGGTTGGGTACATCTACGAATTTGACAAAAGTGGGTTTAGAAAGACTAAAGCCACAACCAGTGGCCCACGTTTCAAGGCTGCTAAGAGATTCTTGTATAACATATTACCCAAAGTTTACATCGGCAGAACTATAATAAATCAGGACGTCGTCAGCGCATAGTGCAACATTTACAGGTTTTGGTATGAATGATTTAATATTATTAATGGCAATGTTGAATAGTGTTGGGCTTAAAACCGATCCTTAAGGAACACCGTTGTGTAGTTCAAAATTGTTTGAAAAAGTCGAGCCAGCACAAACGTTGAAATTCCGATTACTATAAAAGTTTTGTATAAAAAATAAAATATTGCCTGAGAATTCCCATGACTGTAAGCATTTTAGAATTTTTTTTCTCCAGCAAGAGTCAAACGCACTTTCCAGTTTAAAAAAAACTGTGAAAACATGCTGGTTTCCAGTAAAAGAAGATTTTAGAAAGGAATTAAATTTAAAAAGATTGTGCATTGTTGATTTAGAATAACAGAATCCACATTGTTCGCTATGTAGTAGATGCCGGGTCCCTAATTCCCATAAAAGGCGGCGGTTAATTATTTTTTTTGGCCACTTTGCAGAGAACTGACGTAAGAGAGATGGGCCTATAACTTGTACGAGTTTTGAATCTTTATTAGACTTTGGTATAGATATTACTGTTGCAGATGACCAACTTTTAGGAAAGTCTCTATTTATTCACAAATTGTTGAGGAGCGTCAATAACTCTTGTAAGTGCTTTATAAATTCAATGTGAATCTGATTTGGAACGAGGTGACCTACTACTACGGGTAAATTGTAGGGTTTAGTAACAAGGATAAGATAAGGGGAGAGCTAAAGTTCTTGAAGTGCCAGAGGATTTTTTGAAATACTAGATAAATGCAGACCAAAGACATCGGCAAGAGTTTTTCCATTGTAAGCTATCGAGCACGGGATATTGTTAATTTGTCTGCCTTTTATACCTTTTATTTTATTCCATACTATTTTCATTGAAATTGCTGTTGAGATGGAAGAAATAAATTTTGTCCAGCAATTTCTTTTTGCCTGGTTGATAGTCCACCGCGCTTCTGCCCTGGCTTTATGGTAATTGATGTAATTACTTAATGAAGGCCGAGTTTTTAACATTTTTAAAGCTCGATGCTGTTTCGTCAAAGCAGGCCGACATTCGATTATACTATGCAGCCCCTGTGAACAATCTTTTTATAGCCACGCCCATCAAATCTGGACTGGTTTCCTATAATTCCCTAATCTTACTTTCATTGTGATCTTGCAGGCAGTGATCACCTACCTTTCTAGCTTTCACTGAAAATTGACCCGTTACTTTCACAATCTATCAGGAAATGGAGGATAGACAAAGGCAATTGGGAGAATTATACAAATGCCTGTAGCGATAACTTTAGACATTTTCAAATTTCCTTATCTCACAGAGAAAATCTTGAAAGGTTTGCCCATCTAAATAATTAAAAATGGTTCCTTGGTGGACACTTCTCATATAAATGTTTCCGTTACTAATAGGGAAAAAATAGAATTAAATATTAGCATGTAAGGATTATGTAAATTAGAGAATATGAAATTTAAATTGATTTCTTAGGTTGAATTACAAGAACTAATCAATTGTAGGAAGAATAATCAATACAGAAGGGAAATCAATCTAGAAAGAATGAGCAAAATACACATTTTATCCAGTGTCGATTAGATATGAAAGTTTGAAAGTATAATAATAATTTTACCTCCTGCCCTGAAAGTGTTTATCAAAGATTGAGCTGAAAATGACATGTCACTATCCGCTATGACTCGCACCTTGACTCCTCGCCGATGTGCATTAATAATACAATCTCCAAACAGTTTAGCTGTGATGATGTATATACAAACATCCAAGTTTTTTTGACAATTATTAATAAATCCTAGTATATAACTGAAACATAATTAAAAGTTCATATTTGAGTAAAATATTTAAAAAAAAGCTTTTTTTTTCTATACAAAAGTTTTTAATAATTCATAATAGTACCATCTAAATATCTATGCAAAACATTTGTGTAGTTTAAATAAAAGGAAAAAATAAAAATTAAGGAACAAGTCACACATTTCTCCGCCAAGATGGTGGCTAGTTCCAGGATCATCAGTAACATCACGTCAGGACTACCAGGAGTTAGAAATCAGTTATGTAATGAACGCTAATTTTGGCTAGGGTTTTAAATGAAAAAAACCAGTTGGGAATTTGGGAGTCGTAAATCATTATCTAAATAAAGGAAGGTTAAACTGTCAATACTCAGTCATTCTTAAAATCCCATTTATAGCATGATCCTATGATCTTGGTCCACTCGTCAAAGTGGAGTGACACTTGTGTGTTAATACCTTACAATCAATTACTATAACAGCATAACTCAGGACACATCTCACTGGATGAACATGATTGAGTGTACTCGATGTGATTTTGAAACGAGCTGTCACTGGAGAAGTGATTCAGAATAAATAAATAATAATACCAAGACATATTTACCTCCCATCAAATTAATTAAATAGAAGTAGTAATTCTTACATTAATATTCAAAGTTATATAGCTAACACGACTCCATTCAGTTAAATGGAATGAAAAAGACTGAAAAACAATAAAAAGTGATTGAGAATTTATAAAAATTGATATAAAGGAGTAATTGAGACAATTCATTGAAACAGCATTGGTCATATTTAGATCTATCCTTTAGGAAGTTAAATATCATGTTAAGCACTTTAAAGTGAGAGTAAATTAACACTTATACTTCTGGTGATAAAACAGCATTCTCACTTATCTTACTTACCAATTAATTAAGTATTTTAATTAAGTAATATAAATCCACCTTAAATGAGAAGGAATTCTTATAATAAAAACAAGATTAAACTATATTGAATACCTCAAACGTCCATAGTTGCAATCTAAATTGCCACAATCGAATTGTCTCTTCATGTGCCCATCACATTGATCACTGCTCACACCAAACGTTAAAAGGCGATTTTTATTCAATATATCAATTTGGTTGTCTTTCTTTATCTTGTTTACTCGTTTCCTCATCCACTGATTAAATTTGTAATTAAAAATGCCTATTACACAAACAGTGCCGAATGTGGAAAGTCCCAAGAGCCATAAGCTACGGTTAGAATAATTCATTTGGCTAAAAATATATCTGAAACATTGACTACAACTAAAAGCACAAAGATCCTGAAACAGAATTACTCAATTTCCCAAGTCAAAGTATGGCGGAAAAAGGTTATAAGACAGCTATCCAACCAAAGAGGTTATTTAACTTATTCATTCTATTCCTCAATGCCCTTCATTATATATATATATATATATTTAATTTTTATAAAGTATACTTATTTAAGGAATTGGGGATTCCCTAGGACGGTTTTAATCACAAGGGAAAAATTTGAGATATGTTTATTTATCATCTCCACTTTTTTTCAATAAAAGGTATGAGAAACAGATTGCAGCAAACAATTACTGCAATAGCCTATTATCAAATAAAATTGCTACATAGACAGTAATAATCCGTATTTTTAAATGCCACTAACCACTTAAAATATAAAACAATTAATAATATATAAAATGTTATTAAGTCTTATTTCTTAAAGATGTTTTCAAGGAACAAGATCGAAACCACTAACTTCAGGAAAAATTGAAAAGGAAGCATACGCTTTCATAACGAGATAAACGGAGAAAAAAATATTTAAAAAAGTACCAATCAAAAAAGGAAATAAACTAGTTATAACTGAAGCATAATAATTTGTTATGCTTTGTAACACTATTATGCTTAATTAGTTTGTTATGCTTTTGTTATACTATTACGAAATTGTTCCAAGATTAGTAATATTTCTCTTCCAGAAAGAATAACAAATCAAAACATATTAAAAGATCAAACTTGCTTAAACTTAGATGATAGCATATACTTTTCTGTTGGGTCTTTTAAAGATTTGAAATTGACGTTGCTTTGAGAAAACTAAAAAAAAAATGATGACTTTATGTTGCTGTGTCCATAAATCAATTCAATATCGACCAGCTGATTTTAGAAAGAGTAGAAACAATAACTAAGTGGTCCAAGGCCCTATTTCCCCTATAAGGTCTCAGAGACAGCTGAGAAAAACATGAACAGAATCGAAGTCCCTAAATTCTTGAAAATTATTAAAGAGGGTGGTAAGAAATTCCTTGTAACATTTATAAATTGGCATGGAAAAGCTATCCTCTAGCGTAACCGAAGAAAGGTAAGGTACTATAATTATTAAAGAAGGGAAAAGAACTATATATATCAACAGCTACTGACCGATTCTCCGAAACACATTCCGTAAACTGTTCGAAAGAATGGTCGTTTTTCTACTGCAAGAATATGCTGAGGCGAACGATTTAATTCCAGATCGATCTGCTAATTTTAAAAAGAATGGAAACACAATGACCGCTAATGGCCCAGATTGCAGAGGACAGTACCGCCTTTGTATGATTCACTAAGGGCCACACTGCTGAGGGTTCCTAAGACTTAACAGAGAACTATTTACTTCTATAATTAAGAATTAAAATGTTATAATTTCAATGTTCTCTAGTTTAGCTAATGTTTTAAAAGGGAAATTAAATAATCCATCTCTGCTAATCTTTTACATAGCAGATATCAAAAATAAATATTTATATTGAATTTCATTATTTTAAACAAAATATATGGTTAGCTGCAAAAATGGCGATACTACTGGTGATATCGATATAGATGGTAATATGTTTGAACAGGTAGATAAATTTAGGTATCTAGGTTCTACGATAACTAGAAAAAACGAAATTGAAGAAGAGATTAAGGTTAGACTGAAGGCGGGGAATGCTTGTTATTTTTCTGTGACAAAACTACTTAGTTCGCGCCTCTTGTCCCGAAACTTAAAAATTAGAATCTATAAAACAATTATCTTGCCTACAGTTCTTTATGGATGCGAAAATTGGCCGCTTACATTAAGGGATGAGCAGCGTCTTAAGGTTTTTGAAAATTAAGTATTGCGTAGAATATTCGGACCGAAGAAGGATGAGTTAACCGGAGAGTTCAGACGGTTACACAACGCCGAATTGCGTGAGCTGTATCCGGGTAATATAATTGAGGTAATTTCATCGCGGCGAATCAAATGGGCTTGTAAAGTTGTTGGGCTTAGTAACGAGAGAATTCCTAAAAGGTTAATATTTGCTGTGCCGAATGGTAAGCGTCCGAGGGGTAGACCGAAGCGAAGGTGGGAAGATTGCATTAAAGCCGATCTGAAGGGACTGGGTTTAGACGGCGAACGGTGGAGGTAGGTATGTAACAAGCGATTGGTGGTGTCGGCATCGAACCTTCGGGTTCGCTAAGCCTTATTATTATTATTATTTATTCATTATTTTAAATTTGTAATACTATAAAGTTTCATCATCTAAAATGTATAGATAATCATCTAAGGACATCACGTCAATGATTATAATTATTTTAAATTAAGTGAATTAAGCAAAAACTTTAATTAAAATAATCCATTAGTCTTTCGTGCCAGTATGTAAAGACTAATTTAATTAAGGTTTGATAATGGCGTGCAACGCATTCGTTTCCAGCGCTGCCTGTCGCGTATCGGATTACTTGCTATTTCGTCCTCACACCTGTCACTGCTCCCGACAGAAATTATTGAGCTATGAGCGCTAGTGTAATTAAGAAGTCACCGGACAATAGGCTCAGGAACAAAAGAGAACGGTGAGTGTTTCCTAAACAAATTTGGTTTTAATTTTCTATTTTCGTTTTTCCCTTATCGTGTGAACAGATATTTATTACATATCATATTTTAGGCTATATTTATGATTCACTTACATGACCAACTGCATATAATTACCTGAATAAACAACAAAATGTATTCGACCAAAAAAAAACAAAATAACCAATCACAATTAACAATAGTAATAAAAAAAATTTATTTTGATAGGAAGCGTTTTCATTATAATGGATTTATAATTACACAATTTATTTGTGAATCTATTTTTCCAACGGTTTAAATAAACGGTAAAGAAGTACTTCAGCATAAACAATATTTTTATTATTTTTCTCTCAAGAATAATTATAAACTGGTTTTCTCAGCAACTTGATTTCGATATGGCAACAAATAATTGTTAGTTGAATTCTCTTCATTCGACTGCAAACGATATTTACAGCAAGCTGAATTAGCATTATCTTGCCAAAATTTTTCCTTATTGATAATTTTAATTTCTGTGATTACTTTCTCGTTGTTATTGGTATTTATGTGATGGTTACTCATTTCTCATTGAATCTATAATGCCATGCAGGTAACCAAAAAGTCTTATTAATAATTGAAACATTAAAACAATATTAAAAATAGGTAATACTGACTTTCTTTATTTAACAGAAAATTATCAAAGTAATCTCACAAAAAGGAAAACTGAGATTTAGTTATAGTTTCTACCGTTTATGATCTTTATGCAATAATGTTTTCTATAAGCACTTGATATAGCAAATTGTTAGATAAAAAGATCTATTGTGAAACACTTGACGAAGCTAGAATATACGATATAAGTAATACGATCCAAACTTAAAAGTCCACTTTTTGAACGATGTCTCTTACTTTACAGTACTAACTTTAAGGCGTCCACAAACAGAGCGTACTGGCCTAGTTTAGTTGTATCTTGTTTTCTCGTACATATTAATACCAACATACTTATAGAGGCATAATTTGTGTTTTATTTTTCTGAAAGATGGATGAAATCATGCTCCCTCATTCTGGGAGTGACGAAAGATAAAATGAGATCTCATTGGGGTGAGTTCTGCAGTGTGACTCCTATCCATGGTGTGAGGTACCTAAGTGAACCGAAGCGGCCTCTGGTAGAGAAGTATGAAGGCTCGATGTCAGCTGACCTTTTGTAAATGATTTTTTCTATTTATTGAGCATTTTTTCTGTTTAGGATATGGTGGCTATTTGTTGTACTCCTCAGTATGGCGTTCGCTGGCATAAATGCGTGGCAGCAATATAAGAAACTGATCAACAGCCCTATCACAGAAATTCCCGAAGGAAACTGCGGAAATCTTTCCATGATACCGTTTCCAGCCGTTACCATTTGTGACAACAGGAAGTCCTATTTCCTTGCACAAGTACCTGGTGAAGACGATTCGTAAGTATCTGAGTTAGATCTGTAGATCTTAACGCTTTCTGCTCAAAGAATAACATGATTAAACTTGTTATTTTTTGAAAATTTATTTTCTTGAAACCATAGACAAAAGAAATCATGTTTAGTGGAGAGGCAACCGATATACCTTTTCTCTACACTTTGAGGTATCCTTCGACAGCGTTTGGTGGCAATACGTGTTCCTACTGTCTCTTGCATCTAATTTGAGGACAGGTTGGTAATGGTTTGAGTAAAGAGAAGATGACTGTAAGAGTGAGCCATTTGAATGGAACTGGTTTTCTAATAGGTTAAATGGTGAAAAAAAGAACGGTTTCCAACTTACTATTTAGCTGGCGTGGTGGCGTCTGAGTCGGCCTCATGATGGGATCTATCTAAGATTACCGCTGATAAAACGCAGGATTTCATCCTGGAAGGAACAAACCTTATCTCCTTACAAATCTAATACGGAAGAATTCCTCCATATCAGAAAGATATTGAAGAGAAAGTAAAAATTAATCCTTTTTCAGGACAAGGCCTTTCAGAGAGGCCAAGCTGTTGATCTGTGGTGATCCTCATCCACTCTCTGAAGAAACAGACATGGAGAAATTGCTAGAGGTGACTTTATTTATACAATAATTAGTAGCCACTAATAACATTTAAAAAAATCATTTTATAGGGCATTATTTTTTTTCTTTGAATAACAGATGTCCCCTCCATTGGACCAAAGTTGTGATTTATGCAATGCTTTTTCGAAGAAAACCTGGACCAATTGCACGGCTATGTTCAAGCGTATAGTAACCGATGTCGGGGTATGTCAGACCTTCAACATGTTTTCACCATCCGAAATCTTTACCGAAGGCACGTAAGTTGAACTCTCAAGAATTCATTAATAGTCATTTAAGTTCGATGCAGTACACATTATGCAAAATATTTTTATGAAATATTCTCACGTAAATTAAAATTCCTTAACTGGAATACAAACACTGGTGACCGATCCAGTGATCGCTTCAACCAATAATGTGGCAAGGGAATGGCTCATTGGAGAATAGAACTAGATCGCATCCAATGGACTGTGGCACATATCCTGTTTGATGAAAATATAAATAAATAATAGCAATTTAAGAAAAAACGAAAAAGGCTGGGTATATAACACAAAACATGCAGTTCTAATGCTAAGATGTAAAACAAGTTAGAAGTGTAATTTTACAAAAGCATCATCTGAATTATTTAAAAATGAAGATCAAAGGATTAATTACTTGCTTGGGTTATGATATTTTTGAAGGAAAGAATAATCAGAACGCCTGGTCGCAGAGAAACTAATGTACGTTTATTTTAGGTTCTCTTCCTTTGCTACAGAAACGGTTTTACTTATAAGTTTATTACTTATAGAAAGTATCTACTTATAGAAGTATTACTAGTTCTTCTTCCACCCGCCTGTTTTAAAATGCATTTTACTTTTTTTAAATACTACAAATTCAATCGTCTTATAATAACAAGACTCCAGGAACTGTAAATAAACTTTTTCTATTTTTAATTAATATTATTCTGTATTTTGGCTTTTTTTTGTTTAAAAAATAATCGAATAAGGATATTTAAATCGATTAAGAGGAAAATTAAGATTCATAAAATATGATAGTAAGTCAATTAAGGCCAAGATTTCAAAATGGAAATAAAATAATAATTTATTTGTTATCAACTGTGCAGAAGTGAACATTTCAACATCGAATGCTGAGTGTGACTTATTAAAAAATGTTATTGTTTCTTATAAAGAAGATTCTGTAAAGGATGGATGCACTGGACTACTTTCTACCCAGAACCCGCTTGCAATCAGAACTTGTCGTACCAACCCTGGCGCAATAGCATATACATTTCTAAAGTATAATTTGCTAGTACCGTGAAACGGGGGGACTTTATAGTTTGGCGACTGACATTACTATGTAAAACTACAATCACTTTTTTGTTTCAACTTCTAGAAACAGATTCCAGTTTCATGGAGAAGCCGTTTCCAAGTCAAGTATTAATTTAATGTTTGCTAAAAGAAATTATTATATTTTTGTTGTAAAGTCGTCATAAAGATGTGAAGTTACTATTTTTTAATGATAGCGGACATTTTACATCAGCGACAATATTGCAGTTTTTAATATTCTCTCAGTTTATAATTTTCGAAATACTTATTCGATAATATATACGTAGAGAATAAAAATTGCATATAGCCTTCTATACTTTACAGTTTAATTTACAAAAATCAAATGTTTCAGTGAAATCGAATACGAGGAACATAACAAGAGTTCAGATTGGATGCCCGAAGAAAGCGCCTACACCGAAAAGACGCTTCCAGTGAACAAGAATGGACAGGGTTTCTCTTCGCCCTACCCCCGAAGAGCGGAGAATCAACTCACCGTGACTCTCTTCAACCAACTCCCGTCCGGAGCTTTCGAGGCACTCTTCTGCGATAGCTCTGATCCCCTGGGATTCAAGGTCACATTGTCTAAACAGCTCTCGGCTAAATAATAAAGAATTTCCGCTTCTCTAGTACTTCTTATGTATTTCCAAATAATTTTAAATGTTGATAATGATCGTTCGTTACTAACTGTTGTAAAACTGGTGGGCGGGGTGGCCGAATGGGCTAACACGTGTGCTCAGCACCACCGTTACCCGGCAACCTGATCTACGACAAATGTCATAAAAATAGTCACGAGTTCGCGTCCCGGTGCCAAGTTGAAGTGAAATTTCACTCACCACATACAAAAAAATAAATAAATAAATCAAATATATAATGAAAACTAATTTTGTTTTTATTGGTACATTTTACTTTCTATACGTGATCTGAGCAGGGTATTTAAATAACTACAAAACATTGTCTTTCTAAATTTATTCTTATGAATATCTGCTACTAAATTTATTCAGTAGCATACCTATAATACCTATATATACCAGTAAGAGGTTTATGTTGATAAACAGTTCATACGTAACTAATCGATTATCGAACTTAATTAACTTCACTGGAAAATTACGTCATGACCGCTCCTCTCCCCATACAAAAAAAAAAATCAATTTCTTATGCTGTCATATATTACTTTATATTTGAACTATATTACATTCTATATGTATCCAATTCAGTTTATTTATAAATTTATTTGGCTAAAATTAATTTTTATCGGATAATTTCGTATTTTTTCATTTTGAAAAACAACCGGAAAGGTTTCTTTATGTAAGACCATTGAGGTGGGAACTTCATATAGATGTTCATACAAGTTGTCAATAGCCTTTATGGGTGATGATTGGTCTATATTTTTTCAGATAATTCTCCATAGCCCGCATGAAGTTCCAATGGTCGGTCATAGAAGGGACATTCGGAGCCTAACAGAAGTTAGTATTTATATAATATAATTGCCTATCTATTAGCTCAGTGTATCTTCTTTATTCCTCTTTGTATCTCTAATTGTACATTTTTCGCATTTGTTGTAAATTGATTGGAATTTGAACATATAAATTAAAATTGCTACAACATTTTAACTCATTATATTATTCTGTATTTATATATTTTTCCCCATGTATTTCTATTTTAGTTTATACTCAAATTTTCAGGTTGATTTATTCTTCTCAGTCAAAGAGGTCACATTTAACTCAGCCAGAGCAGACTTTTTCGCTTCCATTTATTATAAGACATAGATCAGTTTTTCTTATACCGTCCTATTATCCATATCATAACTTTTTTTTCTATTTATTTTTTCCAGTTCAACGAAACCAGCATAGGACAGTACTTTTTATTGCCGATGGAACGTAAGGTATTTTGAAACTTTTTTTTTCTTCTAAGTAGCATTAAGCACTCCCACCCCTTAATTACTTATTTTATTTTGAGTAACCACTTTGTAGTGACTGGATATACCCTAGGAGAGTATTCCGATTCCAGGATCGATCCATCACTGATATAATATACTACATAATTATCTACAATAAGCAGACTCCAACCCAAGATACAGCGAAGGAGCACAGTGCCTTACGTCACTGAACTAGTCCACTCCAGAAGAATAATTATATAAATTAATATTACAATTCACATGCTTCAAATATTAAATGTAGGCCTTGAATGGTACCTCATTGGTTAACAAGTACGACCACCTTGAAATATTTATTTCTCTTTTCCTGTTTTAATTGGTTATGTTTTTAACTTCTAAAAAGTTATTATAAACCTTATTCTTGTCAAATTGATGAAAACATTTGCATTATTTGGAGTCTTATTAAACGTTTCAAATGATTTATTCCACCTTTTAAGGATGTGAAATGTTTTTTATTGAATTGTTTGATGTTATGGATAGCATGTTGTTAGATCGCCTGTTGACTTTAATTCCTCCGTTTTATGCTTAACACCGCCCATCACCAAACTGCAACCCATTAAGAAGATTCAAAACATTTTAGAATGTAGTTCGAGGATATGATAATGAGCTACTGGCCTACTGACTATTAAACATAATGTATAAAAACATATTCCTTCCGAAATGGCTGAAATGATTATAACAGTGGTGTTCTTACACCGTCGCCAAAGGAAATAATCTTCTATATTTATTCTATGAAAATACGAATTAATAGCAACTTGACGTAGTTATCAATATGAATATATACCTAAACGACACAAACGATCTTCCCCGCTGTCCTCCCTTCTATTATAAAATTCAGAAGCCTCCCAAATCCATGATTACACTGACATGTAATGAATATGTTAAAAAATGGTGTTCTTGGCGGAGCTTGAACTGGTCGTGGAGCCGAAGCTGGTCAAAGCTGACGAAGAACTGAGGCAGTTTCCGGCCGAGCACCGGGGCTGCTACTTCCCAGAAGAAAGAGAGCTTTTCTTCTTCCGGCACTATTCGTACTCCAACTGCCAGCTAGAGTGCGTCGCCAACCTGACCCTCAGCGAGTGCCTCTGTGCCGACTACTACATGCCCAGTGAGCTTTTTGTTTCATCCTTCTTATTCAACTTTTTATATCTAGATCAACATAGGAAATTGTGAAGAATCCCTGTCTCAATTAAGCAGGATCCTCACTAGAACCAATACTACCCAATGCACTACTGGCTATCTTGTACTTGAAAAAGTTAAGAAGTCGACATTGCACTGCACCGTCCACTTTATTTTCTTACCAAGTAACTAAAACAAAATTCCGTTAGTTCAATGTAACTAACTTCTGTTGCAGGAGTAAAAGAGACGAAGCTGTGCGACAGATCTCACCTAGGATGCATCTTGTCAGTCTTAGGTAAGTGAATTCTAATACCTGCGATATGGATTATCGGAACAAGGTGTGATACTTATTTAATTTTCAACGAGGTTTCATTTATAAAACAAGTCAAAAGAAAATATTTTTAAAAGAATCCTTTGAAATGATTGTTAATACGAACTATAAAGGGACAATGTTAACTACTTCAACTTATTATATCTAACGGTATCGAAGAATAATTGGTTTAGTTCTACATGGTTTATTCTAACCAGGGCGGAAAGAACACATTAACAAATTATCATACACGCAGTCAGATAAGGGGTTTGGAAGAGGTTGGGGATAGTAGGTAATTACTTTTCTAAATGATTACTTTTACTAGAAATATTTGAAGAGTGGTTTTGAATGTTAATCATGCTCACTCTTTTGAATGTTAATCATGCTCACTCTTCCTCAAAGCCAAACTGCGAGGCACAATTATTGGTTTGTGAGGTTTAAAGCCCTCACCGAAGTAAAATTCCGGAAAATGGTCTGCAGACTATTTTAGCCCAAGTGTGAAGATTTACAGCCCACATCTTTTGGGTGAATATTCTGTGCAATACTTCAGTTTAAAATAGTACTTTCATGTTTATTGACTAAAACTAGTTTTACGATAGAGCAAGTTTTAAAACCATTTCTCGCCTTTAATATAACTTTTGTTTTCTATTTACATAAATAGGAAGATATCATTATTATTATTAATACCATAACACTTCGTAAATATTTATTACAGACGACTGGAAAAGGCGAGGAGGAAAGAATTGTAACTGTTTGAACTCGTGCAGCCAAATCGAGTACCATGCCAAAGCTTGGTACAGCTACTCTCCAGATAAAGGGTAAGAGAGTTTATATCTAGTGCATATCTCATGTGGTATCAATCAGGACAAATTGAGGTGACTCATAAAGTAAGGGGGCGAGCTATAACGTGGAGAAGTAATGAGTGAAAAGTGGATTCTCACAAACATATTTCTTGTCTTCAAAAAGTTCAATATGTCAACCAGATTAGATATGAGGATTTTGTTCGATATTTTGTAAATATTATTTCAACCGCGTGCGTTATTTTCCCTGGAACAGTTCTTTTCTTTCTTCATGTATCGCAGCAACTTGGACAAGATCCTTTAATGCCTTTCTACGGTTATCCTCCTCCTATTTTACTTCCATTCTTCTTCCTCTGAGACATGGCCAATATCTTAATCCGGTGCTGTTCAATAATTTCTTAACTCAAATTCAGGTTAGTTCTTATCATGTTATTTTACTTTCTCTCTTCTAGTTTTATTCTTAATTCTTTCTTTCTATGTCCCGGATTTTGTGCTTGGTGTTGTCAGATAAGTTCTTAAAAATTCGCAAGTTTGAAAATGCTAGAAAGAAAGTCTGCTAAGGACTATCCTGAAATAAACCATTATATTTATAAAATGTATATTTGTGCTTGAACATGCGATAAATCCTAAAACAATAAATTGATTTAATTCGATTTATTGCAGAAAATCACCAATTACGATTTCATAAAGTATGAACCCTAGTATCAATTTTCCCTCATTGAAATCAGAATCTTGGGCACTTAGTGCTACTGTTCTTGATATATAAATGGGTTTTGTCATTTTGTTGAACAGGTTTGCATCGATAAACAAAGTCGAAGTTTACAAAGCATACTTAAAAGTGTACCTCTTCCAAAAATGTACTTCGTTGCTTTCTGCGATAAACCGGTGAAATTAACAGTCATCAAATATATTGGATTGACAGTTTAACATAGAAAATATAGGGTACAGATGATGATAGTGTAACCAAGATTTACGATTTCTTTTTCGTTAACAACTACGATGAAATATCGTCCTATATCTTGATAGTCCGCGAAATCATGTGCGAACTAGATCTTATAATGTTATTAGAAGCGAGCTATCCCCAGTAGCAAGACAGTAGCTTTGAAGCGGGGGTTTAACTGTACTTTAAAGATTGACAATTTTTTAAGTTTAAATAATGGATTATTTGATTTCAGTGAAATGGTGTGGAACGACAGCAGCCTATCAGTAGTGATGAGAGACAAGCTTTTCTTCATGACGGAGAGGAAGCCCATCTACACCAAAGTGGACTTCTATTGTTAGTTCTTCCTTGTATAGAAAATAGACAATTGATGATATAGTCACATAAAACTATTACCTCTTTGTATGAAAAATAGGTAAACAATGGTTTAGCCCAAGGTATAGCCATATTAAATTATTACCTCCTTGCATCTATATTATTATCAACTTAAAGAAAAAGGGCTTAAAATGAAAAATTAACTTTTACTTTTGATACGTTCAAGTATAACTGGAACTTTTAATTCTAATGTTTTTTGTTTTTTTGGGAAATGGAACCATTTCCTATGAACATTTTTAGTTACAAGTTTTATAGAACTTTTATTTAAAAGTCCTGTTAAAGCAATTCATGTCGTTAAAAAGTAAAATGGTAATATAGTAGTACTTTCTTGATAGGAGAATCAGAAAATTCATTTCAGATAAGCCCAATTATGGCTTATTTCTCATTTTACTTAACTTTTTACAAGTGCTTAAATTTATTAACATTAAGCTATCACAATTTCATGGCAAGATCTTCGATCATGTTTATCACGGCTAGCGCTTCTTGGGAAAAGTTTTTGATCTTCAAAGAATAATAAATGTCAAAATTCAAGTCTATCAAGAGATCTTTAAACAGCGTCGGATATTAAAAGTTTTTACAAAAATTTATTGTTAATCAGGATAGGCATGGGCGCCGGGAGTGGACCATTTTGCAGCACTCCCATTGTTTAATGAAGGGGGCAGCCCAACATTCGTTCGAATAATAAATCAAAGCATAAGTACAAAATACAATTGGCTGTATCTTTGCTAAAAATGGACCGATTAATAGAATACTTTTTGGGTTATGTGCAAATAAAGTTTCTTTTTCTTCAAAACGATTTCTCTGATTTTCAAAATGATGGCTCAATCATTGGATTTGATGAACTAACAAAAATATGGCGTACCAAAAAAAAAAAACCTTTGAGAAGTAATGTATTGTTGATTAGCTCCTGTGAATAACTCTTAGATTATATTGTTTAGTGAAGGAACAGCAAAATAATATACAAATTAGTAGATCTTGTGTACTATGTGACGAAGTAACTAATTTTGTGTTCCTTGGTTGAATACGATATTTCATTTAAAATAATAGGCCAAAACATTTATACGAATTACTTTTCTAGGACCAAATTTTAAACACTAAATATTATCTTCCTTATTCAAAGTAAATCCTCGGTTATGGGATTTTCTTAATTATTAAAAAATATAAAATTGTCCAACAAAAAATACCATAAAGGTATAATAAAGTATATATCAGCCAGGAAAAAAACAGTAGTAGAATAGTAAATGCAGTATCCTTCAAGAGGAAAAGATTATTATGTATATAAAAATCTATTTGCATCTTTGTTAATTTTTTTTAATTAGGAATTTCCACTAATAGTGGGTTTCCTTCCAGGGTCCATTCTTCCTGTAGACCATGACCCATCATGGATTCCTCCACTTCGTTATCGCAGGTCTTCCTTGTATTCGTCTTTCCCTAGTTTTCCATAAGTGGACTTCTTTGGGTAGTCTTCCTTCAGGCATTTTTTTCAAATTTCCATACCACTTCAGGCGTTTTGTCTCAATCTCTCCCAGAATGGTTCTTTTAGCCTCCATGTTTTCTCTGATGGTCGTATTTCTCACTTAATCTATTCTGGATATTCCCGCCGCTCCTCACCAGTAGTCCATTTTGGTGGCTAGAAGTTTCTTCCTGAGATTACTTTTTATGGCCCAAGTTTCTTACCCATACGTGATAATGCTCAGTAATAATACAACATCCTATTGTAGATGTTTTGGGAATAATGTTCCGGTTCCATATACCGAGTTGAGCATTGATATGGTCTTTTTTCCATCTGATTTTTTTTTTCACTTCTTTTGTTTTCATATCCACATCACATGCACCATCTATTTCAATTATGGAACAAAGATATTTAAAATGTTTAATTCTTTTTAGAACCCCTCCTGGATTCAGTTCTCTATCCTCATTATTGAATGTCATCACTAACGGATCCAGCCGGGGGGCGCGTGCCCCTCCCCCTGGAGCAGCAGAAAAAATCCAAAAAAAGTAAGAGAAAGTAAAAGAAAAGAGAAAAGTTCATCCTCATGAACGACGAATTTCCTAATGTAATATAAAAAAAAAATACTATCGTGACCAGCACTAGCGAATTCTGCCAGGGGCATTCCCTCCCTTGGATGGAGGAAAAAGTGACAAAAAAACCTATTTAAAGATAGCCTCTAGATTTAACTATAGTCTTTTTTAACAATCCATGCGATTCATAAAACTGATCATGATAATAATTTCTATATTTCTCATAAGAAAGTGTTGTTCTTTTATTAAAATAGCTGCTGGGAACGTTTTCATGAAGGAATGTACTATTTTAGGATGTTTGGTCTCCGATTTGATCGGAATCGAAAATTATTCCGAGTTTTTTTTTGCTTAGAGAACTCATCTCCAAGCTATAGAGACCATATCACTTAATAAAATTATTAAGTTTAAGTACTCGTTCGACGCACAATTTGAGGTTCTTTAATTTCTTAAAGAATACATTTTTCGCTTTGATGCACTGTTTAGTAGTAATACATGAACAAAAATCAGATAAATCTGGAATTTTTGGCTGTAAAAAGTTTTGTCTTAGCGTGTTAGCAATTTAGTTTTTTACATGTCTAAACCCATATAGAGGGTGTCTCGTAGAGCGAAATATTTAAAGGAGTTATAGCAAAACTCAATAAACACAAAAAGTTTATATAAACAATGTTTCGATTTTTAGCAGAAAAGTAGGGAATTAAAGTTTTGTGATTTTTTTGTCACATTTTTTGTTGAATAGGAAGTGATAACAGAAAAACTACTTAATTTAAGTAATTAATGATAGTTTCACTGTAAATTAGACAAAATTTAAAATAAAGTTTGCTTTTGTAAAACTCATTTAAACAGAACTTTTGAGGGGTTAAACTCAGCTAAGGAGTGTGGAGAGTTGGGTAGTGGTGGGAGAACGGGTAGGGGTGGGGGAACGGGTAGGAGTGGGGGAAGCACGTGGTAGAGGTGCGCCCCCTCCTGAGAAAATTTCTGGACCCGCCACTGTATATCATGTATTCCGTTTTCTCTCCAATATAACTACTCCCCACTGCTGATATTCCTCATTTAATTTTCTTAACATATATCCAGCATCTTCTGCGTCCCGTGCAATGATGACCTGGTCACCTGCGAAGGATAGGTTATAAAGGAACACCTTTTCTTTCAACTGAATCCCCATGGGTTCAGATTTTATTCTCCATGCTTTCAAACAGATGTCAAGATAAATCTTGAACAGAGAAGGAGAGGTACAACACCCCTGGAGCAATCATTTGCTTGTTGGGAAAGGCTCAGGAAGGTATGGTCCAATTTTGACCTGGCAGGTGTTTCCTTTGTACATTTCCTTTATTATATCTATCAGGCCTATATTAATGTTTACATTTTGGAGGGCTTGCCATAATAGTCTTCGAGGGACACTGCCATACACTTTCTTCAGGCCTATAAACATTAGTTCAATGTCTCTGGCAACGGCTTGATGTTTCTCCAACAATTGCCTCAGGGTGAATATATGGTCTATGCACGATCTTTCTGCTGTAAATCCACATTGGTCAATTCCTACTTATCCAAGAGGCCTCGTTAATATCTATCATAGTAAAATTTGTTATTATTCAATTAATCATAGACCTTTAAATTAAGCTGTTTGCTTTCAGCTGACTGCGGAGGTCTCCTGGGCCTGTTTTGTGGACTGAGCTTCCTCAGCATGATGGAGATGGTGTATCATGGTTCCCTGAGGGTTCTTTTCACCTTCTGCTATAACTGGAGACGCAGGAGCCATGATTAGTTCTACTTTCAATTTAATATCTACTGACAATTATTGATGTACATCACAATCTTTTATATGTGTAGAAATTATAATAAACAATAAATAAATCATCAGCAGGAGAACTTCCTCTCTTAGGTGGTATTTTCCCTTATTTCTGTTTGGTAAAATGATGAAAAGCTATTTAACTACCTCATAAAAGTAAATATAATACTTATGTAAATTGATCTGCTGAATTTCTGCCTCATCTTTTTATTTTAAACATTTAATAATTCAATTTATCAAAGTGGCAGTGGTGAGGGAAAAACCGGTGGGACCCTTCTTTCAAAATAAGATCTTTTAACATAAAAGAAAGAAAGTAAATAAATGGTGTTTGAGTGGTCCTTGAAGACAAGTTAGAAAAAAAATGCATTTACAGGAACAAAAATGCTTTTAGGGGTATATTTATTAGTTTTTTCCCATTCTTACTTGGTAGCTAAATATAATTTAAAAAAGTATATATTGTCAATATTAATGTATTTAGTTCAAATCACTCATAGACATGAATATGGACGAATGAAAAACAAACAAATCTACTTTGGGAGGAGCCCAATACATCAGCCCAAAAGTATATATATATATATATATATATATATATATATATATATATATATATATATATATGTATGTATACATTGTTTAAACTTGAAAATTAAACTAGCACCTGTGAAAATTCGAAACTTTCAATTGTGTTTTTCCATAAGTATGATTTATGCACTTAACACACTATGCACAGCAGGGGTGCCAAGGAGGGGATTTCATCATCAAAATGTTTTAGGTGGGCACATTTTGACAGGGTTTTGAACTTTTGAGGAGACACATTTCGACAGGATTATGAATTTTCGGAATAAATAGTATCAAAGTGTGGGACAGAAGAAAAGCATAGAACAGACCACTGAAAGTGTAATTGTATATGAACTATGATTTTTTAAATGCTGCTTTAGCTTGAACTGTTTATAAGAAGAGGAGAGCAATAAAATGTGTTGGGAGGGGAGGGGGAGGTTCAGGCGCCATTGACTTTGGGTGGGGAATGGGCACCTCTGATGCAAATGTACCAGATATATAGTGGTGTAAAAAGTCTTTGAACAAACTAACTTTTCATGGAAATGATAAATGTTTAAATTTAAAATTGTTTTTATCTTTTTAATTATAAACTTATTTAACTTTGAAAAACCTATATTTTAGATATAATATATATTTAAATTAGTATTATTATCAATTAACAACTAGCCAAACGACAATCTGTTGTGTTGATGTAATTTTATCCCCTGAATATTATTTCTTTCTTGTTAAATTTCACTACTTTGCTATCCACTTGAGTGTACCGACAGACCAAAGGTGCTCCAATACCCAGAAAGTGTTGTGTTTTACTTCCATGGTTTGGGTCATATAACATATGGCAACTACATTCAGCCACTACCAGACATTTCTTTAACATTGTTTTTTATTTGACAAGCTTTTGTTCTTGTATTAATTAATTAAGCAGCTTTTATACTTACAAAGTTGGTTGAATTTAAATTTATAATCACTCAAATTTTGCTGTCCCAGGTAATTAGCTAGTCTGCATAAAATTTCCCTCAAATCCTCCAGATAATGTTTTATGCAGCACTACTTTATTAATTTGTTGAAAAATATAACTAAAAAATGTATTTATCGAACCCAAGGGTTCGTTGCAAATGTCTCAATTTTATGTACCAATTTCAACCGCTCTGGCTATATTACTACAATATTGTTTAGAGGGTGCACGTAAATCAACATTCTTCATTGTGAAGCTATCTAAATTCTCTGCTGTTTACATATTATAATAGTTACAAACTAAATATTTTACAACAATAATTTATTTTAGAAAACTTGAAATATCCTTTTTTGTTACTTATAATGTTAGAATAGGTCATTATTTGCAAGGAATAATCCCATGCTTTTAACTTTTTCTTTTCTATATTATATAAATAACAGTCAAACCAATGTCATAGCTCATCAACTACTTTCGCCTGATACACAGTTTAATCACATAATACTTACAATTACTTATTAAAATAGTAATATTACAAATTAAAATAATGATTACATATTAAAATAGTGATTACATATTAAAATAGTGATTATTATGAAGTTTCAATTTGAATGGGTGACAACAGATAGGTGGGCTAGTCCTTCCATTAGTAGCCATGGTTACAGCCATGACTTTTAGCAAGGGGAGGGGATTCCTGAGCCAGGTTTGCTTCCATTAGTATGAGCTGTATTTGGTTGAGCAGGTCAATCATCAATTCACAATTCTTACTCTAGCAATTGCAGCATGAAATTCACCCATTTCAGTGCACAATGTCATATATACACCATTCTATAGAAATTAAAAGTGCAATGGCTTGAAAAAAATTAATGTAAAATAGAGAATGAATTCACTTCTCAGTAGCAAAATTTAAGGAATTAATACTGTAACTGATCTTTAACCAAAATGCTTATGTATATGCAAATAGATTTTTCGTTGTTGTAAATTTAGTTCATTTTCTTTATGTTGAATTTCACCTAGATCTAGAATTATTGATTGTATCATCTTTTCAATAGAAGTGATGCCTTTAATATTTAAATATTTATAGTTCACACATCTTTCAAGCCTTAACTTTTTGTCAAAACTGCTTTTGGTTTTCTGAACTTATGTGTCCATTTATGAAAAATAGCATTATGAAAGCAGTGTGAAATGATTGAGAAATAAGATTAATAGGGTCAAGAACAGTATTATTGAATAATAGGCAATATATTTCTTAGTAATTATGAGCCTAATTCTAAATATTTAATATAAATACTCTTATTTATTCGTAATATTCATGACTTTTGACAATTTTTTTTATATATCTGAGTTATAACCCATTCAAAGTAAATACATTTGAAGGTGCATTTAGACATTTCACAAACAAATATATAAATGGTTATTTCACTAGGCTAATATTTCTGTTTCTTGTTTTTGATATTTCCATCTGCTATTCGTATCAAGAGAAATAAAATTAATAGTTTGGTTTAGAAATAATTTTGCTGTTATTTATGATAGATAATTGTTTCCCATAGTTTGTGAAATGTTTGAATCACCTTTAAGTTTGAAGTAATTGGTACTTAAAAACAGCTTAAATAGATTTGAATTATGAACATTTTTGTGGCTATTTAAGTATTTACCATAAGCATTTTAAAATTTCAATTAAGCAAAATTAAATGTTAAATTTTTGTAGAGAAACAATATTATGATGTATATTTATCTTTACTTTTTAAGATGTGCTGTTGCTATTGTTTTCAAAGAAGTATAAATCTTTAAGACTTTTATGTTTTAGAAATATACAATCTGAAAAAAAAAGTAATAATAAAGATTATTACTACCGTGATAACTCATCCCTCTATATTTGATTTATTTTCTGTTATGAATCTTATATATCTATACATGTATATATATTTTTTTGTGTGTGTGTCAAATTGCACTATGACCATGCAGGTCTTTTATATAATATTATTACAAATTACAATGTTGCTTAAATTGTCAAAATATATTAATTCACTGTATTTTTATATTTACTAATCACATCATAGATCAAAGCTTAAGTTAAAGCTTACAAAGTTAAAAAATTGCAGAATGCTTATTTTTTTAAAAACTATAAATATGTTTTTATTTACAATTTTTATCAATATAACTGCAATATAATTGCAAAAATCAATAAAATTAATATACTCAAATAAACTAATGATTATACTGCTTTTACATTTCTTGATGTGATTTGTTCGATACCTTTTCAGTAAATTAGCATTTTACTAATGATAATAGATAAAATTTTATAATTTTTTCTTCAGAAAACTAATCCAACCTTTTGTTTTTAGTTGTGATGGAATCCGGATGTAACTATCTGAAAAATAATATTACAAAAATAAAAGACAAACTAAATACCAAAATGGAAATCATTTGGGAAGATGAAAATTTGAAAGAATGGAAATCTAAAGCAGAAGAAAAGCAACAGTTTTATCTGGAATCCCTTGGAGGAAGGAGCTGGGAAGAATATCAAACCGATGAAGTGCCATTTTTAAGATTAAAAATAGGTTTTGCCGTTTTCGGACCTTTAGCTGATGTGGAGGATGAAAATATTGATGAACCAGTAATTCAATTTAAAGATGCACAACATAAGAAAACAATTGATCAAATAACAGAAACAATATGTAAAATATCTCAATCCAATCATCTTTATGCTGCTTTTATTTTTGTAATAGCCTTTGTAAATAATGAATATGCCGAATATCCTGTAGTTAGGGTTCTGAATACAAAGTCTAACTCCATTTTCTTTACTGACATGCTTGGAAGAGTGTATGAAGATTGGAATGATTTCATTAGCAATAATATATTTCCTTGTTGTATTTATTGTTATCCAAAGAATGGATTTTACTCCTGCAACAAAGATGGAAAAGTTGAGTTAATTTTCAGTTATTCCCCTGAAAACAGCAAAAGGAAGCGTTTCCTGAGAAAAGTGGACACAGTGAATGGAGTAGCTGGTGTGGGAAGTGCTGCGGTAGGTATTGCTGCATTGGCAGTGCCCTTGTCGAGCCCAGTTGTCCTAGGGTCAGCAGCAGCAGGCCTTGCATCTGCCCTTTGGTCTACATGTCGGACTGTGACAACTTTACGAGATAGGAAAAAACATTGTCAAACCCTCAGTGTATCTGACCGAAATGCAAGAGCTTGTTGGCTATCACTAGCAGCTGGGATAGTTGGAGGAGCATCAGCGGGTGCTGTACAATACACGGAGCTGATTGCGCGAAGCGGCCTAGCCTTAAACAAGATACCGTGCCTAGCGGCAAGTACTTTGGAAATAGGGAACATTGGCGTAGGCGGCCTCAGCATGGTCAATCATATCGTCGACATAGTTCAGAGGAAAGAATGCACTCTCTCAGATTCCATTCAAGTTATATTGTCTGTTTTGTTTTTCTTTCATGCATCAGTAAATTTTATCACAGCTAAAGCCATTATGAGAGGTATTAAGAGCAAAATTATAAACAATGCAGAAAAAGATTCAAATATTAAACTGCAAAATGAATTTATTATGAAATTTCATGAAACTTGCGAAAACAGTTTGGTAGATAGAAATGTTGAAGTTATTAAAACACTAAAAACGATCA